CTGATGTTGAGAGTAAGGACGTCATGAGAGGAGATGAGACTACGGTTCATTGCAGGACGGGCTAAAGATGACTACAGAAAATAGGACAAGGAGATGTGTACTCATATTTTGTTGGTCCAGCGATGAGTCCCGAGAGAATCCCATGAAAAGAATTTGGGCACATTTAGGAAAACAGATAAGAGCAGCGAGTGGAACCCTGAATCTCTTCCGTCTTAAAGTACAAACTTCCACATCAATATGGGAAGAATTTTGTCTGACCTAGAATGCCCACAAACTGGTCTGAGGTACTGGTAGCGTAACGCTGGGAAATGGTAAAGGCAATCATTCGTACAGTAATCGCAGAAACCGTCGCTCTAGTCACACTACAAACTAGGCACTGATTTTCATCCCAAGATAGGGGGCGCAGGATGTTCGTCAAGCGAAGAGGAAAGCCTGGTTCATTTGGCAAATTTTCAAGAGTCGGGCTGACTATGAAGCATGAGCAGAGTTTCGGAACCTATGCAACATAAAAATCAGTAGTGGCAAGAAGTCATTTCAGGCGAATCTTGCGGAACTATTCAGGCAAACACTAAAAGCCGGTACCCGTTCATGTAACAAAGAAGACCTACTGACCTTAGGAGGTGGTTAGTGTATTGCTACTTTGGAAGGCGCTAATACAACCAGTTCCAACTCTTTTGGTTCAAAGGAACTGACAATAGAGTGAAACACAGTCGTCCTCTGTCCTATTTTGAAGCATGGAGATCGGCGAAACGCGATGGTGTCGACAGTACTGGAATTTCCGATTGATGGTCATGCCATGCAACATTTTGAAAAGGGCACATTCCATGAAGCGCAATATGATTTCAGGAGACGTAGATCCAGTGCACCATGGGGTGAATGTACCCAGTCTACGTCAGCTTCCTTGACTTCATTAGGGCATTTAGCACCTCTCAGAAAGATCTTCTCCTTCACGGGATAAGTTTAGCAGGTGTTGGTAGCCTGCTTCTCTCTTGGTAGATGGACCATCTAAACGGAAGACAATCTTGCATCAAAATCAACCATAGTTTGTCCTCGTTAGCTTCACAGGGTCGCTTGATGTTTCTGATGTTCATCAGTGACCTGCTATGCCGTCCAAATGGCATGGCTTTTCCCTGTGTTGATAACTTAATGATTTGGAAAGCAACGTAATGTTTGCAAATCTCAGATTAATTGCAAGCAGATCTGTATGTTCGGATAGGCTGGTAACTGGCCTGTTGTATGACTTTCAATCTGAAGATATGCAGAATAGAACAGCTACGTACCCGCATGCCACGGCGAGTAAGCTACTCCCTTTGTGATGGTAAAGTATCCTGTTTGACTTTAGAATCCAACTTAGTCTCCTTCAAGTGAATATTTGGATGCAAGGGCGAATTACAAGGGCAATGTGTTGAGGTAATATATGATTTTGCTCTTCGCGCACAGACGGTTAAGTGCGCTAAATGCTGACCTTCTTCCTTGCTTGTCTGAACTATACGAGCAATCGAACCATATGTTCTTTATACCACTGCTCCTACATTTCTTAAAAGGGAGAGCCATCTTTTGGGAAGGGTCCAAAGATGGGAGACAGGATTAATTGGTGGGTATCTGGAATAAACTACACAGTGAAATTAGCCACCGCCTGATTTTGGTGACCTGGACACTGCATATGATATTAAAAGTTCCTGGGAACACGCTGACAAATGTATTGTGCCATCAATTCATTAAGAGCTTGCTCGAAGGAACTCAGGGAGAACAGCGGGTCCAAGCGCGAAGATTCGAGTGCCCCCCATTTCTTTTCGCACAAAGTCTGCTGTCACTGGAGCTGTTAACCAGAAGCTGTGGCTACTGCGTCGACGGTGGAAATTTTTAAGTGGAGTTTGGATGATCAATCAGCGACACAAGGACGGCATCCGAGCGGCCCAAATCATTAAGACTCAATAATAATGGGCATACGCCTAAACTCTTCCTTTACCGCTGATTGCTCCGAATTACCTCACTCATTTAACTACTTTATCAATTGATTCACTTATTTCATTGGTTGCGAAAGATTATTTTTATTGATCTTTAATTAATAAATTTCACTGTATCTCCATTTATCTTTCCAAGTATACAAAATCTACACTAGTTACATCTAATATGATTATCCTTCTTTTAGACCATACCAAACGGCTAACTGGTGAAAGGGTGAAAGGGTTAACCCCTTTCACAGCAGTTACCCTGTTTCAATAAACAGCATACAGCAAGCCACATACAAACAACCCTCGCACAACTCTTCTTACAGTCCATGAAAGCTACAGCAGTCCAGTAGATGGACACACCATGTGAAATTCTCCTATTATTCAAGAACCCTTATCTTAGAGCCAAGTAGAGAGAACAAAGAAATCAGTACCGTTTACACTGGCTCATGAATACGATATAGGACATTTCAGAGAAACCTCGCCAATAAGCTTCTCGTGAACCCCAAAAGCCGATACAGGTTTATGTCTGAAAGAAAACCGACCAACCAGAGAGCTTGCAATCTAGTGGGTTCTGATGGGAAATCTCTTACTAGTCTTGAAATGGCAGAGACATTCAGTCTAGCCTTTCACAGGCAACTGAACAGTAACGAGGATTTTACCCCCACAAAACATCAAGATTACAATGCAAGACCAACGTGCGAAAACCTGCTGGGTACATCTCAAATTACCCCGGCTATGGTACTCGTAAAATTGGGAAAGTTGGCGTCGGGAAAGTCTGCAGGTTGCGATGACATAAGACCATCCGTCCTGAAGCAGTGTTCAGAAAGTCTCTGCCAACCCCTAAGTGATCTGTTTCAACACTCCTTTGATGTAGGGAAACTTCCATGTGAATGGAAACGAGCCATCCTATCCCCTATCTTCAAGGGTGGTGACCGACAGAATGCGACCAGTTACAGGCCAGTTGCGCTACTTCCAGTGATATCGAAGATATTGGGAAGTCTCATTGACGACCACATGAGAAAATACTTCGACGGGGCTAACCTACTCCATGAAGCACAGCACGGTTTCAGTAGGGTAAGATCCTGTGTGACCGATCTTCTACTAGCTTGGAACGATTGGACATTATCCTGGGACGTAAAGGCACCAGTCCATGTGATCTTTCTCGACTTTTCGAAAGCATTCGACACAGTTCACCATGGTCTGCTCCTTCACAAAATAAGCAGGGCGCGTGTTTCTGGAGCACTTCTCGCATGGTTGAAAGATTACTTAGGCGAGAGAGAATTCTGCACCAAAGTCAACCGCATCCGATCATCCTGGCACACCTCGGCATCAGGGGTTCCTCAGGGTTCTATCTTAGGGCCGTTGATGTTTTTGATTTTTATCAACGACCTGCCCCGTCAATTGAACTGCTCTGCGCTTCTTTACTCTGACGACATAAAGATTTGGAGAGCAATAAACTCATCGGAAGACTCCGACAGATTGCAGGCTGACCTGCAAACTCTGGGAGAATGGGCTCTGGCTAACGGAATGCCTTTCAACCTAAAGAAGTGCAACTTCATTCCGGCAGGTCACAGAGTGCAAATTACACCCTTGGTGGCCAGAACTTGAGTTGTGTGCCATCAGAACGCGACCTAGGTCTTATTTTAACAGAAAAGCTAGACACCAGTGTAAATTACACGAGGGACGTCGCCAAAGCTTATGCAACTTTACAGTTTATGCATAGGCAGCTGGGAGCTCTTACTCCTGAACTATTCTTAACGTTGTATACGACATACGTGAGGCCACTCCTTGAGGTGCATAATATCATTGCTCCTCCGCTACTCAAAAGGGATGCTAACATGCTAGAAAGTGTCCAGAGACGAGCGACAAAATGGGTGATCGGCCTCCGCAACAAATCATATGAGGAAAGACTGAAGAAATTAAGTCTTTTCACACTTAGTTACCGTAGTCACAGGGGAGACCTCTCACCGTCTATAAGATCTTAAATGACCAGGCCCACCCTAATAAGAGCATCCTGCCATTAAGTGATTATAGGCTTCCACGAGGTAACCCGCTAAGGATAGCACACCAGAGACCAAAGACTCGAGTTCGTTCACATTTCTTTTCGCTTCGAGTTTGCCGTCTCTGGAACGCTTTACCGGCGGCCATGACTACAGCGCCATCTGTGGAGACTTTTAAGCGGAAGCTGGACAATCATGCAGAAATGCATGGTTTGTGTCTCAATGGCTTACCCTCTTAAAATTTGAAACCACACTCTCAGTGGATAAGCATGCAAGCTAAATCCCCCGACCCGTCCTGTCTTTTCTCACTGTACCGACTACTCTATCTTTTCTTTCTTTCTTTCTTATTTCACCTTATTATTTCACTTATCTCAACCTATATTACCTACACTACAACCTATTATTATTACTATTCTGTTTTTATGACTACACCAAATGACCAACGGGTGTTAGGTCAAACTCCATTCACGGCAGCAGCTGAGTCCTAACATACTGCACACTACAAACCACATCTTGACCAATCCTCGCACCACTCCTCTTAGAGTCTACCAGAGCTAAAGCAGTCGAGTGGCGGGACTTACTACGCATAAGTTCACCGAAGATCTGGAACCTCTACCTTACAATCAAGAAGCGAGCTCAAAGAAATCACTGGTTTATGCTAGCTCGTAATCAGGATATTGGATATTGGAATCTTTAGCGACCTGATTCAAATGTCACGGTAACACATGAAATGGAATATGTTCCTCACAGGTGAGATGTAAATTATTCCTCTAACACACTTATAGGATTGACATTTTAAGTGGACGGCACACTGAAATAGCTATGCTCCTGCTTTTAGTACAGACTTTGAGAATACCATGGTATTTGCTTGCCTATGCATACACAAGCGTTTTAATTTCAATCATGATACTTATGATTCTCGCGACACCATTCTCACCGAATCCATTCAAAGTAACTGAGAGTTTTTGATTTTTTTAAGCAATAGTTTTGTGCAAGTCCATTCACACTTGGACGCGGCGACTATCTCTGCCTATTTACCAGCCACTTTATTCACGTCAATGCGTGGCATGCATATCACAATTTGAGTAGTTTCCTTCGACAGGCCGTTCCAATGGAGTACAAAATTGGAAACACAGGGTTTTTCAAGCTTGTGGTTGTCCTTCTTTCCAGATGTATTGTTCTTCATATCTTACTAAACTATGTATTATTTCAAGTCACGTACAATAGTGCATATGCAAACGACTGTTATCTTGGAATATCTAGTGAGTTTACCAGAAACATTATAAGCATAAGCAAAAGCTGTATTTTTTGGCAATAAACAAATTTTATACGCAAGAAGGCAACTCAATCTCAAGATTATAATAGTGAAAACGCTCGGATTTCTGTTAATAGAAGCCTAGTGAATTAATTGATCCAAGTACTAGAACTCGAAAGTGTTCAGTCATCAACTACTATCATTGGGACATCTGATGTTAAACTCGGCTATTCTTGTGCTTATTAAATAAGCCCTGAGTTTTCAGCACTCTTCTAAGGTTTACGACACATAATTTCAAATTATTTTTCAATAATAAGTTTAGGCTCGAGATGAGATTTTTTGAGAAAATCATCTTTCATTTTAATTTTATCGGTGACATTTCCAGAAATAAAGTTAATTAGATACATTTAAGACATTTTTATCCTTTATTTCAGTTGACAAATTCCAAATATTGGGTATTATCTCTCAAAATAAAACTTCTATCCCTAGTTAAATCTCAAACATAAAACTGTTTACCCCGAAGGGGATTTTCTATTTTATTTTCTTAGAATGACTTTCATCTTCATTTTTAGTCAGTTTGACTTTCAATACAAACCAGAAATTTAGCTGCGTATCAGCTAACGATTTGATAGCATTTAGAAAGTCACTTTATGCTAACCATTACAGGGTGTTATTATAGAACATTCAGATTGATTGATTGAAAATTACTTATCAATCATTACATTTTAGACCTAGATTCGACCTGAAACAACTGACTCCAACTTGCTAAAATCTTTAGAGGCTTTCTGAATGTGCCAGCATATCATGATGCGTTAATTTCCTGGAGTCTTATCAAAAATTACAGCTATTAAAATATCTTTAAGAAAACCAAAGCTTCACATGCTGAGCATACTTTTTGTTTATAAGAAAACAACAGTATTTATTTTCTTGATATATATATATATACGGAGCCACAACAAAATGAGAGAAGTGCAGATAAAAGTCTGAATATATCCTCTTATTTGAATAAACACATTAACTTCTTTAATCGGGAACCAAATTTTTTCATATTTTCACGTGATTTCCTAATGAGCGTTTTGAAATATATCAGATTTTCTATTGGTTTCCACTTTTTTCTTTTTCTACCAAACTGTAGTTTTTATTTTACAGCTATTCCGGTTCTAGGATAAAACAGTATTCTTTAAGCATAGTGATAAGGCGACCTACTTTATTAGTTTTGGTTCCATCTGCACTTTCACGTTCAAGTTCACTACTGAAATCGCAGTATAATATTAAAATGCTTGTGTATCTAATTTCTGTACCTCTGACTGCAGTATGCATAAGAGGAACCTTGTGTTCGATAGAAAAGTACAATGAATTCGTCATTTGAAGTGCTTAGAAATATATCTGTGATTAAATTTATATTCCACGCTTAAATATTAAAGTATAAGATTGATTAAAGTGTCATTTCCAAGATTTGACATTTTTGTCTGTTGTCACTGTTGTTTGGGGTATGAAAATTCTGAAACTCAAACCTCACAGTTTTCTGGCAGTTATTTACACATACAGTTCTTACTTCCCGTGAGTTATTTTGAGAAACATGTTAACTAACCACTTGTTCAAGACGGCGATATTTGAAATTAGAAGCAGGACGAAGAAGAATAATAACAGTTAGTCTAAGCCCATTTTAGTAATGAGAGTCAAATAATCAAGGCAAAAATACTATTTTCAAGAAGAATATCCACCAAAGATTTCTAAGTAATGTGACTTGTTAGAAGTTAAGGTTTTGATACGAGAATGAACTGTTTCTACTTAACGGCGGACATTCTAAGACATATATATTAACAGTTGTTTTAGTGTAGTTTCCAAGAGTCACTAAGTTGTCTAGAGAAATATTAATTTTAATCCAATAATTCTATCTGATAACAGTCTGAATTTTATGTATACGACTTTTTAAATAGCTCTGAAAGTTTGAAAAACTTAAAAAAGAGACACTAATGCCATGCAGAGTCTACTCAGTTTCTGTAGAGTTAAAACCATTAAAATTAAATATGATTTCATTATACCTGGTTGGTAATGATTCATCAGAAAGTGCTTCCAACTAATTTTAATTTTCCCTAGGTCTTGGTTTTGCACTGAATACATTATCTATTTTATCTTCGTGTGAGAAATATGTAATTGCTTTACCTTACGGACTGACAGTTCGAGTACCTAAATATGTGTTTTCTAGCTTTGATATGTTATTCCTTCAGTTGCCACTACCAACTTCGTCACTAAATGGTAAGTTCCGCATCGTCGTATGTGAAACGTTTTTGGGTATCTATGTTAGCATGAGGGAATGTGAGATAATCCTTTCATCTACGAACAATATCTTGGTTACTAGAAAGGAAGGTCACCTGGTAATCCCACCCCATAGAAACAACACCGCTACCGAAAATTCAAAGCTTGACTCCCTATGTTCCACTCGCAACGCAAATGAGTTTAAAAAACATATGAGGTCTAATAGTGATTTTCAGTCGAGCAGTATTCCAACAACAAGAATAACATTGATAGCTTCATAAACATATGCGGTATCCATAGCCTTATTTAGTAACATTCATAAGTCAATATCATGAGTACTTTGAATATTCTAATCGACATAAAAATTGATTTTCCGGGCAAATGATAATTGTAAATGCTTCGAAATAGACCCTGAAGTAATCAGTAGGATCACTTAGAAACTCAATTGATATTCTGAGGTCCATTTCTACCAATCTACGCTTAGTCTTCGGATAGCTAGATGCTATAAAGTCCTGAAACATCAATTTAGTGGACCATATCGTGTCATCGTTTTAACAGGAGATGGTCACTAATCTTGAGGAATCAGCTATAATGGCGTCGAATTTCTATGTACTAACTGTTAATATTGTAGGTATAATGGGTAATAACTAACCAGCATTTCCAGATACTCAGGCATAAACAGTTGACTGTTAATAGCTAGTACTGAGACCTCAGAATTTCCACTGTTGTCATTCAGTGGCGTCCATTGTTCTTCCACAGACGTTTAGATATTATGTATATATATAACTTAAAAAGATTATTTCAATAAATAATAAGTCATAATCACTTATTTTCTCATCATTAATATTTTACCTGAGAATTCACAATGAAGAGTTAAACACTAATTGATGCACAGTTTATTTTGTATACCATTTAGTTTTAATTAGAATTATGTTTTTGGGAATGAGTAAAATCCATAGTAACATTTGAAAACATGGTTTCATGTTTTGAGATAGATGTTATTCAAACAAATCCGAAGATTACATTAACGTGGCAAAATTTAGTGAAAATAATTTGGTAATTGGTCTAATATCTTTCATAGAGCTGCAGATTTCAGAAACATAATAGTTGAATCAGTTAAATAATTAACTAAACAGAAATTACGTATGCTATATTTATAGGTGGAGTGGGCATTTACACGTATCCTCCTAGGTTTCTTGAGGGAATCAGAAAATTAAACAATGATAACAGGCTGATACACTTGGGAAACATCTTTCAGCCAAAATTAGGAGGGTGGTTAAAAACTAAGCGTACTGGGCAATCACAGTGTAACTAAAATAACTTCATAAACCACCAGTCAAGTAACTTTTATGCAAAAGTATAGTAAAAAAAAACAGGTTAGAACAGCTAATACTATTCCTTTTTTTAATGCACTCACCGTCAAGAAATAATGACAATTTACATTTGATTCAGTGGAATTCCTGCCAGTCTATCATTTGTTAGTTAATGACTCTGAGATGGATCCTAGTAATTTTCAGTGAGACACTTTGTTAGGTGTAGGAACAGTTACTCACTGATAATAATAAATGAAGACGGAGCTGTATCGAAAATTTGTCAAACCTCGCCTTCAAGCGCTTCACAGATCTGAACCATTGGCTGGATCACTCACTTTATAACACAACACTTTGGAGCTCAGTCCATCATAGAGTCGTTAGTGCACATTGCTAAAGCACCACTAACTCAAACATAACAGACATTTTATTGTTAATTAATCTCTGATTTTTCTGAAGCCAATATCGCCTGCTGACAAAATTTGGCTTTGGCTAATTTCTAGTCAGCTCCTAGCTTTCTTACCATAGTACCTTATAGCTTAAAAAGTAATGGTTTGTACACCGAACTAATCTTAGTAAATTCACATTGTATTTTTCGTGAAAACGGAATTAAACTTCGAACATCCATGCCCGCACCAATGGATCCACATAAAAGAACTTATGAAATGCTTTTAATTAACCTTCCATAGGTACTCAATCAAATAACACTTTTGTAAAATAATAAAACATACGTATAAGAACAAGCCATTTCACTCTGAGAACGTGTAAGTTCTAAAGTTATTTTTTTCTCAAGGGCTCCTTATTTTTGAAAGCAAACTGTACATATGAGTAAAGTTTTACAGACTACAAACTAGGGCATATTTAAACTATCATAGCCATAACGACAGTAAGCCTGAACAACCAATCAGTATTCACATGCAAAGAATTCGCATAATCGTTGAAAAATACACTAAAAAATATTGCAAACTTGACATTACACTGTAAAGTTATAGCTTATATGTTGTAAGAATGTCTCTCAGTCAATCCACAGATGATCTACACAGAAATCGTACCATGCCCTACATACCCATTCATCTAGGTGATTGTAGGTCATGTTACTTTGAGATCCATTGATATTTCTGACACTTTACTCCAACCTACTCCTAACTCTAACCATAATCCTAACTTTGACCCTAAACATAACCTTAACCCTAGGCCCTAAACCTTAATCTTAAAAGCCGTAACCCTACCTAACAGCATAGATATTCAGAAAAAGTACCTAGCAAATAAGTAGAATACTGTATATATCTTCTCCAAGTCCAAAAAGGCAGGCATAATTTGATTTGAAAGGACATTTCATAACATTCGCTGTATGTAATCGGTCCTTGAAGTTCGACTTTTGGAAGACCTTGACTTTAGCTATGACACTTTACCTAAACTAGATTATTGTGTTCGCCCTGTATGTATGAAGGCAGTAACCGAATCAAAATTCGTTCTGAAGACACATTTAATGCTTAACATTAATACTGAAATTATACCTATAGAATTATTCCTGCATATGAGTTTTGTTTTTATTTTATTTATTTTATTTTGATTTACAGCTTGATTCCACACCGTACTTTCAGTACAAGTGTGGAATTTTCAGCATGGATATCGGTAGCCCAAATTCAGGCTGACCATAGATATCGGGTGTGCGCCGGCAGGGGATCGAACCCCGGACCATGTGCATGGTCGGCGAGAGTCCTAACCACTGTGCCACCTAGTAATGTAGGTAGTTGCTACCATAAAAGTATAACTATTTCACTTAGTTGACAACGAATCAAGAAGGTTTCTAACATATGTACTGCTCTGTTGTTTTTTCTCTTTTCACAGGTCATTTAGCAGGAATTCTTGCTGGTTTGAGTTATTTAAAATCCTATTCATCTCTTCTAATACAAAACAGAAATCATCAACGTGTAGAAGATCTCTCAGAATAAGAAATATTTCTATTCATAATACACTTCACTAACTTCATTACTGATAGATTTACTTTTTTTCAACTAGATTTATGTAAATTCATTTTACAATATTTTTCTGAAATATTTTTTCAGTTACTGAGTCGGATATCCTGTTATTTTTAAAAATACAAGACCTAAATTATCAGTCGTATAAAATCACTAGCTGTGTTTTACAACGATAGAAATGACTGAAATATATAAAAGGCACTTAAACCTGTCGACCAGACTTCACTAGTATGGGGTGCACTATGTGCTAAGTGTACTTTACATGTCAAAAGTATTCACAACACTGTACTGGTGGGTGAATACAAGTCATATACACATTACTCCCCAAAACGTTTTAGCTTCAGATACTACAGTGATAGAAATAATTACACAGCAATAAACTGTTTAACATGATGGGTACAATCAGTTAACCCTAAACTCTTGATATCTTTTCAGGTTAAATGATAAGGACATATATTTAGCACCGGATTCGAAGTTTATAAGTCTAAATGTAGTGAAAGAAAGATTATTTTACAGATGAATTACGCTGGCAACAGTTTCCGGGGTATTTTTTACATAGTAGTGTTAGGATATGTGACGTATTAGATGACTGGAGGCAGTCGGCAGGAATTCTTGTCTAACTTAGGTTTCGTGCTTGTTGGCACTTGTCAGCAAGGCATATCTGCAGCCTTGAAGGGACTCATGTCCCTTCTGAGATTCGAACCCACGTCACCCAGTGCTACAATCAGAGACGTTACCACTGAGCTATTCGGGCTCGGGATTGACCTCCTGTAGGACTGTATTGGATACTAGTTAGAAACTAGTTTCCAATCAAAATATGTGACGTAATTCTACAAGAGTACTTTACAATGTAGATAAAGAAAACTATTTAACTATCGTAAATAAGGATTTTATTGAGCTAAATTATACAGAGAAAACAAAAACAGAAGTCACTTTAAAAATAACATGCCTATAAATGAATAAAATCCTACCTCGTAATCAAGTATAAGATTATCACCGGATAAAATGAAGACAACAGAAATTTCTTTTATTTCTTAAAAATATTTTCTTACTGACAAGGCATACGGTAAGGACAATGAAAATAAAAATTCGAAATCCAGAATACAAAATGACAGTTATTAAGAGAAATTAAAAAGAAAAATTAAATGCATTGGAATCTTATTAAAGAATTCTCAAAAATAAATTCGGAATTAGTATATTTGCACGAAAATCGTAATGAAACCTGTTTTTACCCTATGATGGTTGATGCAAAACTACATTACACTATCTTTATACACATAAGAAAAAGATATCTCTGTACAAACGATAGCATTTGCAAATGCTTACATATCCGCATAATTTGACTTTATACACGTAGGGATATGTAGTTACAATGTAAACATTTAAGAATCAATTGTACGGTTGATATCGGTAAAGACAAATAACAAAATCCAAGCTTTTTTGGGTGCCAGATGACAAAGTTGTTCTTGAATGTCTAATTTTTCAATATTTGGAAATAGTTTAGCCTCTATACATTATAAAAGAACAGAATAAAATGAATCCGTAAATAAGATAAACGTGAGACTAAAATAAACTGTTAAGAATTTCAAGTTATTTAGACATCATGGCCTAAAAATTGACATGTTGTAAATTCGTTAACTAATAATTTATAGTTATAATGCGGCTATTTAAATCATGTTGGAAACCGTACATATATACGAAATCAGTTGTCTTATATTTACAGAAGTGCTATATAGTTTTAGAATAAAACAACCAAAGCTACACATTACATGTGTTTGTGAATACGACCAAATAAGTTTAATACTGACATAGAAAGATAGTGTCAGTAGGTGATATCCTTATAAAGCTCCAATATCATAGTTAATAACTGCGGTTAGGATGAAGCAAATAACAGGTCTCATCAAAAATATCAAAATCGATGAGCAAAGCAAAATGTTCAAGTACAGTAAAATTTAAAGATGATTCCAATGATTAACGAAGCAGACTCAGTCAGTTGGATGGACAAACATAACAACGACAGCATCTATGGAATGTGGTAACGACGAAGTCACTAGTGGAAGGGATCTACACAAGATCATCGTTCCTTCTCGATCACTCACATGAACTGACACGATGAATTATTTTGTAGACGTATTTGAATGAGACTGGTGGGATGTGGGATACAAGCGGCTGAACAAGAATGCAAATCTTATTTTTTTTTATTACAGCTTGATGCCACACCGTATTTTCAGTACAAGTATGGAATTTTCAGCATGGATATCGGTAGCCCAAATTTTGCAGGCCGACCATAGATATCGGGTGTGCGTCGGCAGGGGATCGAACCCCGGACCATGTGCATGGTCGGCGATAGTTCTAACCACTGTGCCACCGACACATACGCTGACATTATCAATAGGAAAATTGAGTTAGTGTGTTTGAAAGCATCAGTCGAGCACTTATTCTAGTAGTAAATGGTGACTCATTGTGGTGAAGCCTGACACCATGTTTCTATTGCTGTATGAACAGAAGTGAATAGAGACGATAAGCTTAATGTAGAATTTGGTGGAGTTTTGTGGACTAATGCAACCTCATTCGATTGTATCCACAAAAGTAAAAAACATTGGAAGTTGCATTAAAGTTACGTCAACTGAGTAATGAAATTAATTAATCAGGAAGAATAGAAGCCGAGTAATACTCATATTCAAGCTGATAAATCCTTATTCGTTTACAGTGAAGTATCGCTTTATAATATCTGGGAGGAGAAACATCATATTCGTATTTCAAGTTTATTGTTTGAGAGTATTTGAAAATTTATGAATATTTAGAATATGAATTAAGTCATCATCACCGCTTTTATTATCGCTGTTAAAATACCAACTTTTAGTTGCAAAATTAGTTATAAACCAACACCAGATATGGCTCAATTGTCAACTAATCTTTAACTCATAAATAACAGCGAATACTTATGTGAGTGATTTGACAGAACTCACATCACTTACTTAGGTAACCAGCCTGAAGTACCGGTGGACTTTTAGCTTCTTGCCAGTCGATTTGTTCTGAAGAGATATGAGTTTTTCTTGAGTAATAATCACCTAGTGATATTCTCGTCCATTTTAATACTTACCTAAAATGATAACAGGCATTATAATAAAAACAAATATAACACAGTAAACCACTTTTGTTAAAAAGTTTACAAGGGAAAATGCAATAGTAGAAGTAGTTAACTGTTTTATCACCAAAGTTGTTCTTGTAAAATATACCATAATTTTAGTTAAACTCAAGTGTCTTATTAATTACCCATGTATAGTGATGTAAATCTCAGCAAATGTACCTTAGTAAGTTAGACACGTCTACTGTGCGAAGAACAGTGGGATAAATCTCACGTTTACAAGATCTATGAACAAGAATAAAGTAGCTCAGAGTAACAAATCTGTCAGCTGATAATTTATAACAATCGTTTTAAAGACTGGTATACTTATAAAGATAATGATCATATCTTACAGCACCATGAGTTCTTCATGTCTTCGTCCACCCCCCTCCTCACCCAATTTACATTTCTTGAACATTCTATTCCACAATGCACATAAATTCCTGATGACTTCAACTATGAATACTAGTGCTTAGTTTCTCAATACACTGGATTTTAGATTCTCCACTTTGTAACACTTTCTTTGCTATTGCATCAGCATTTACAATTATGTCATTCGAGTTAGACCACGGATTGATATCAGTCAGAGAAACATTGAAAACCAGGGCGGATTACTGGACGGCTGTTTCATCCTAGTTTGGGAATCATTGGCAGTACGCCACAACTGGGTTTCGAACCCAGGATCTTCCGGTTACAAGGGAAGTTCATATACCATTCAGCCACTGGGACCCGATTCAATGGCCAGCCCATGAATTCTAACTTCTACCGATTCGTGATTTTTAGCACGACCACCAACTAATGTCATCGGCGGAAACTGCATCCTTATACTTGATTAGATGGACCTCACTGGTCACGACTTCTCACTAGAACTCCAGGAAACTCCGTCCTGTAGCCAGTCACTAGCAAGCATAAGATTAATTTTGTCATTTTCATTCTTTTATAGCCATTGTGAATTCAAGTGGTATGTAGTTGATGAGGATGCGTGAGGCAAAATGATATCGTTTTATACTGTAAATATGGTCTTTCTTGCTTTATAGAGACTTATCGAAAATCCCACTTGTATGAAAAAGTGGACTGAATGACGATGATAGTAAGACCTAATATATATTTCGATCAATTTTGAATGTGTCATTTTTAATTTAACCATACTTCTGCCGTCTTACATTAATGAGAAGTTCTAATTAATTTTAGTTGTCACGGTTTATACTTGGAAGTAGTATTGTTTATCTTTGGTGAATAATTCTATGAAAAGCGAAGGATTATAAGCTACGCTAAACCTAAACCTTGTTGTATAGAAAAAACAAATAGCAGTTTGTAACAGCTTACTGAAAGTTCACTGTGTTTGCAACTGTCTTGTTTCGGCAGCTTAGCCTGATCAAGGGCGTTCTGAACTTGTGTTATTAGTGTGTTACGTTCTGTTTGCCATTCACGTGTTTTCTGCCCATGTATCATCTTTAAATTAATTAATTCCATCTGACTGTTGGAGGACTGTTCAACGGCTGATTTTAATGCCCGTTTTAGATATTCTATCTAAGAAATAATTGAAAAATGAAGCTTAAACAGTCATCACTGTCATACTTATCCATCAATAAGCAAAAATTTGTAGATGTATGGGTTATGGAACATCAGCTTTTCCTACACACTTTATTGATAGTATTGTAAATTGTTTACATAATGGCAGGAACTGAGGGCGAAGCTGTAAAGTTGGTAAATAAGCCTGCAGTGGCAGTAAGGTATTTCCCTCAGATAACCGGCAGCTCAACTGTGCTGCCTTTCTACGCTCAAATGAAGAGGTTAGTAAAGGTTTGTCCTGGAACTGTATACTTATACCTACTCAAAAATGGTCCGAAACCTCTGCTAAGGTTTTCAGTGAGACTGAGACTTCACAAATTTCAATACTGTTATACAAGCATCTCATGAATCACCGCAGGCAGTTATGTCCTGTACACTGCAATATCTTAAAACCGTTTCAAGAAAGGATTCATTTTCCATTATATAAGCAACCGGAAGACCAAAAGCTACTATAAGAGCAGAAACTTAGTCTCTTTATCACTTTCTTCCTCGGAATGCTGATAGAATACAGAGTCTTCTGAAAATAATGAGAAGTCTGAGTATATTTGTTATTAGGTTCACCACTGTGGAATCCGATGTGATGCAGTGGGACTCAACTTCGTAAAATGTTTGAAGGGAATGATTACTGAACAAAGAATATTCTCTTCGATAACTTCATCATCAGGTTCTACAGTTATGGGCATTTTTGAGTCAGTTAGGGTGTTTGTATTGGTCAAATGACATGCTCACTTGAGAAGTTACATTAGCTTTAGAAGAATGTTCTCTGGTAAACTATCAGTACACAAGCTTAGGGTCTGTTTGGTATTTTCCACCTTAGTCACCTTTGAAGCTGGTGGGATCACTCGTTAGCCGTCAGGGGATGCGTGTAATACGTAGCCATTCGTTCTATCTTACTTTTTGACTGGGAAGCGTCACCACTGAAGATGAAATATATCAACAATTTATCGAAGATTTTCGATAATAAAAGTCTTCTATCGGTTTCTCGTATTATACTTACTATGATTAATAACCAGGTCGTAAGTCGATCTACTAGGTTACTGGACATTATCGATTTAGGTGACCTGAAAGTGCGCTACTTAGGATGGGCAACTGTCTTACACAACAAGCTACGTTAGCTGAAGTGGTTCAACATTATTATGCTTGTATAGAGGCTTATGGCAACAATTATAATTAGTACAAGTGAATGACTAAAGTTATAGCACTCATCTAACTTATTTATTGTGTCAGTTATAGCAGTGGCAAAAAATATTAATATAAACTTACCTGTTGTTTTTGATCATCAATAGTTTCTTTTAATATAGATTGTAATTTATTGTAATTTTCAGAGTCTTGAATGATTTTCATGTTTAAAGTAGAAACTTCATGCTCCAGAGAGACAATGCAATCACTCCATTCAGCCTTTACTTCAGCTAAGTGTACACGCATAGCTTCTAGTCGTGTAGTTAAGACCTGACGCTGAGTAAATTATTTAATAAGATTTATCAATATACATAAATATGTATGATTTTTTTATATTCACAGTTTAATAAAGTCTTGTGTGATGTATTCTTTAAATATTCACAGTCTACCAAACAAAATCTAAAGGTACTTATTTTAAAAGAGTTGGTTCTGATAATTTCAAGCTGCCTAATTACTTTCAATATAGAATCAGCATAAAGATTCAAAACGCATGTTAGACACCATCTAGTGGACGCCTTTGATAGAACCAATTTACTTTTAGGTAGAAATCAATTCCATTCACTAATATGGTCTTTAATTATACAGAATTAAGGAGTTTTAAGTACGCTGGTGGTTCAGCGGTAGGATTCTCGCAAACAACGTATGTGGTCGAGGGTTTGATCTCCGGCAAACGTACTCCTAAACCTCTCTATGCCGGTAGTGAGGCCGGTGAAGAGGAAAGGTCTAGTATGAGGCTAGAAACCTCCACCCCGTAAAAATAAAGCCACTGCTACCGAAACTTCTAAGCTCTAGGCTTGAAGCCCTATGTTCCACTCGGGAAGTAAAGGAATAAAATTAGAATTAAATTAATCATAAAGGAATCTTATGAAGAGTACATACTTCAATTAGTATCGTTTTGTAAGAAATTAGGGAGTGAAACTCCAAAATAGTTAGATCAAGTCAATAAATCACTCGAGAATCGTAAATGTCCTCCAGACGATTGGCATAGTTAAAATTAAGAAATTTCATTTCTGACAACAGAAATGTCGTTTACTGTATCTCAGTAGAGCTTTATCAATTATTCAAGGAAAATATACTTGAAATCTAATAAAGCCTGCATAGAAGATCTTCAGCATATTCACACTTGACAAATTACATGTTTATGTTGACCGAACGAGGACAGAAAGATTTAGGTTGCTTCCATTTGTGACAGAAAGAAAGCATTTTGGCTTTCAGATTCACGGTTACTCATGAACACCAAAAGAATGTTCAGTATTTATGTTAACTAACACTGAAAGATTTATAGTTGATAGAAAAGGACACATCATAAACTTTAAAATGAAGCAATAAAGAAATAGCTAAGGTTTACTTCAATTTTCTTTCTGCTAAACATTTCAGTAACGCAAGTATGGGAATAATTTAACTTACTGTCAAGATGTTTTTTAGAACGTAGCAACAACTAATGCCATCTGTAAATTTCTACCTTAAGAGATCTTGTTACCTTGTGCCTAGCATTTATTATTTTTCAGAATATGTGAAACAGCACTGGATGGTGCATGGTAAAAAATAAATATCATTGTGAATCAATAAAGGGTGCGTAACATGGAAACAAACAGAGCAAAATACGGAAAAATTTGGCGAATTGGGATTTCAGTGAAAGGTTTTGTATTTAGCCAGCAATGTGTTATTGTCAAACAAACGATTCCTCTACCAATTATCCCTGTAAATAATTGCCATTTATCACTATGATGATCATAAATAAAAGAAATCGGAGCTTACAACGGTATATATATATATCTTTGTGCAGCAAATGAGGAAAATTATTATTGAATCTAAAATAGAGATTATATTTGTGTGCATCTGAACCGCTACTATAGCACGGGGTCTCTAACCAAGGATTCCCCTGATAATGTAAATCTGAGCCATACAACTTACACTTTCTAGCACAACTTACGGAGAGTCAGTGACTTCACGGATAGTTATCACGAATTGTCTTGATAACTCTTCAGTTTCGTATAAAATAATCACGTATGTGACAATGTAATATCCTGAAGTAGACGGTAATAAAACATTCAAAGCACGTCTCAGTTAATTCATTTTATGGAGGTTTATAATGACATTGACTAACTAATCTATTTCATCTAGTGATTAACCTTGATATAAGGACTAAAAGTCTGTAAAACAACAACATTAAACAAACAGTTAAAATAACAAATGTGATCATACTTCAGAGAGAAGAAGACTTAATTGTGATGGGGAACTTATTGTATCTCCTGCTCCTAATTGTTTTACACCACGATGATTTTCATAGTCGACTGTTGCTAAACTGCTGTTATCGTCTTCATTATCACTTCCAGTAATTTCCAATTCTGAATTTACTTCATTAGTGTGGTCAAGGAGACTGTGATCAGAAGACAGAGAATCAGGTCTACATGGCGTAGGTAAATTATTCACTCTGAAATTTAGTGAAGACGCTTCTATATCACTGGGCTGTACATCATTTATAACAGTGCCTGTAGTACTGCAGCAAGCTACTTCCTGAGTAAGGTTTGATTTTAATATAACTGATTTCTGAGACATCTCTGTGGCATTAACTACTTTTTTGAACGCCTTAAGGTCAAGCTCTTTATAGTTTGGAATTGCCTGAAACAGAAAAAGCAGAGGTGACGATATATGATTATTTGTCAGGAAAGTTCCACATGTATTAGTTAAAGATACTGAAGATATTTTAATGCAACCAACAACAATCTTTTTATTTTTTAATAAATAATGATATAAAAATGTGAACATTAAGTCACATTTCACTTAAAGCAATCAAAAGAGTTTACAAATGAGAATGAAAGATTAATTTTAATTTGTGCTGACCACTTTAATATAAATATATAAAGCAAAAATCCTGGGTCAGTGATAGGACGAAGATGAAACATTAATGTAAGTGTAGAACTTGGGTACTGTGGTAGAATGTAATTCCTTATTAGATGAGCTATTTTAAATATCACACAGTGATGCAGTATTAACAACTGGATGACGTTTCCAGTAAAAATTCTTGCCCGTAATCATATCAATTTTAGTCACACAGTTTCACAATTTGTCTTATATATATTTTCTCTCTTTCTGTCTCTCCAGCTTCCCTTTGTTGTTTGTAGCCACTTCCCATATTTCCCGTATAGGCACTGCATCATTCCGATTGCGTGCGTGTGGTGCTGAACCGATAAACAAAGCTTCACTGACTAACCTCTCTCTCCACCTAAATATATTACTTTTTAATACTCTCACCCTGTCGCATCCTATTTTGTGATTACATGGAAGTGAATGTAGTTCAATAACTGAGCTTTTTTCTAGGTTATTTAAATTTTCAGGGTCAGTTATTCCGGATCTAGCTAAATTTCTATGTTTATCTTATATGGAAGATAAAACATGATATTAGTTAGTGTTTTCTGGGTACTCTGTGGAATAAACATGTGGCCTTAACCTAAATGAGTGGGCATTTCATTGATAAAGTGTTAAACAGTCAAAACGCAGATTATACAAATCAGACTTGGTCATGTAGTTACTAAGTTCATTTATGATTATTTGGTTCCAGAATTTACGGGTGACGTTCATTTCCCCATTAGTTTGTAAGTGGTTGAACAGAAAGCTGAGAAATACAAGTTATGTCATCTGTGGACTTTTTTCTTAAAGTAAAATATATAAATATTTTTAAAATTCTAAAAGCGTTTAGCTCACGATCAAAAACATATTTGAGGAAATACTATAAACTAAAGAAAATACTTCTGTATTACTCTGTGTAAATTAAAAAAGTAGGTGTAATTGAATTTTTTGTCAAAAATAAATCTAAATTACTTGATTAAGTTGATTGCGTAAGTCTGCTACTTCTTTATTCAGTAATTCATTTTCATTTTTAAGTCGCATCAACTCTATGTGATAAGACTGTAAGTCTTCCAGATCTTTCTTCCTACAAAAAATAAAATGAGAACTGAATTCCAAACGATGAACACTAATGTTACATGTCTAGCTACTAAATAAATCCTTGACTAACTGGTTCGTATATTGCATTTCTCAATTAGCAGGACACAGTTTAAAAATTGCTGCACACAATCAGCTTCTAGTAGCCAGAAAGAAAATAGTCAACCAGCATAAAGCGAGTGAGGCTCGTAATCAAAGGCATGAACACTCACACAATTAATCAGTTGCATTAGTACTTCTAGTATTGAGACTAATAGCTAAATATATGTTAGGGAAAACAGTTTCTCTTCTTATTTCAGTTACTTACTAGAATAGGTCAGTATGTGGTTAAATATATGCCTCTTTGTGGTAACAAAAATCAAAACCTAGAAGGTAAACTGACTGACAATCTCAAAGCTTTAATATTTGATCATTACGAAATCATTCTAGGAGGTACTTTCAACGCCAGTGATAACTAAGACAACACCAACCACCTCCCATATTCATTATGAGGTAGAAAATCTTCTCTGTTAGAATTAATACATTTTAACGCGCACACATAAATACGCGCCTAGGTTTATTCGCTTATCGCAAATAATTTTTTGTCGAAAGAATATCTATAACAGTCAACGAATTACTGAAAATGGTTAAAACTGAGGCTAATTATTTACTTAAAAGCAAATGATAATAAATGATACCGGTTGCATGAGAGGTGGCTTTTGTGACCCAAGTGATCTAGTGGATAACGCTTTGGTACTTGAAAAGATGGGTCCTGGATTCCAGTCCCAGTAGGAACACCCCCAGTTACTTGGGATTGCAGGTGCATCCGGAAGACGAGTCCCAAATACGATGAAATGCGTATCCTGGATCCCACTGCCAGTCACCACCAACCAAAATAACCTCATGCTAATTCTCAGACGTCGTTGAAGCGATCAGAAAGTAAACAATAAGAGTGACCATGATAAAAACAATCTCAAATTATAGTGTAACAGTTTCGTGAACAAAGCATCAGACTCAGGAGTTTTAGAACACAGTAATAAGACTAATTTAAAATGTTTAAAGCTGGATTAGTTCTTGATTTAATAGTACATGTGTTGCATAAGATGAAAGTAAATTACATCCTACGACAATATAAAGCACACCATTCGAAAATTAACAGTTTGTCGTTAGAAATAGCTTTTGTGATATTCTACATTACTTGATAAATGTAACGTTTTAAAGCTGTGCAATGAATAAATTACAATAAATTATTACCTCAGTTTTTGTAGATTTTCTATTATAATTTGTTTAGATTCATTTTCCATAGTTAATTTTGTAATGGTGTCAAGCGAACTGTCAGCCGTTTGTGTATACTGCATATTTTCTTTTTCACTCGTTTCATTTTCACACTGCATACCTAGACACTAAGTAACAAATGAAGCGTATATGTGTGAAGTGCACAGCTTTCAAAATTACCTGATGATTTGTTATTTCAGAGAAAGTCATGAATGTTAATAATAAGAGATGATAGTTATATCAGCAGAGGTGGTGTAGACTTCAAATTAATAACCTCATGTTTAACCTGTTCGGTGGACTTCATTTATTTAATTGACTAAAATTCATCAGCTTCTAATTGCTTTTGCAGGAATTGTAATTAGACTCCTCATTCTCGATCTCTGAAGAATGAGTGTGTCTGGTTCATTTTAGTGAATTTACAAATTCATTCAAACCACAGGAGTAAGACAAGCAGCGTGTCTATTATCACCGATGATATTCTTAATTGTGGTGGACTACATGATGCGTCTGACTGTTCGTGAGAGCGATGAGACAGGAATACACTGGTAACCGATAAGAAGACTCTAGAAGATGTGAATTTCGCGCGTGGATGATATATGTCTGGTGTCACACAAACTCGAAGACTTGCAGGGCAATATATAGAAGACGGAGGTGATGAAGATAAACAACCGACAGCAGCAAGAACAAACACCTATCAACATCAACGAAAGAAATTCAACAGAGATCATTTCCCTCATTAATCTAGGAAGCACCGTTTCAATTACAGGCACTCGGAACGAATGAACATGTCAAAGCCAGACAGAATCGGAAAGGCAAGATACACCTTCTTCAACCTGAAACCAATTTGGAAATCTTCTACAATAACTCAACATAAAGAACATGATTTGGATTTTCAACACCGATGTCAAGTCGGTCATTTCTTCTATACGAGTTAGAAACTTGGCTAGCGTGTCACGAAAAGGATTTCCAACAGACTACTGCAGACTTCCATCAGCAGCTGCCCTCTTTGCTGGTTGGCTCCATACTGAAGATCGAATGGCCGGCTGGCCGGTCAGAAAGAATTAGTAACAAGAAATTCTGTCTGGGAACAAACCAACAAGCGAGAGCTGATCGCTCAACAAATATGTAGGAGAAAATGGAGATGGATCGCGCATACATTGACGAGGACGCCGAATGACATGGCGCGCAATGCAGACCATCGCTGGAGTGGAATCCAAGTGGGAAGCGACGAGTGGATCGTGTGAGGAAGAGATGAGAGAGTTTGATCAATCGTGTACCCAGCAGAAGAGGGTAGCAGAAAACAGAAGAAAGTGGAGATGTTTTGTTGAAGCCCTATGTTCCACTAGGAATCTAGGGGAATAATAATAATTCTTGATCTCACCGTATGCATTACATTGAATCAAGTTACTCAATGAGTGAAATTTAGTGATTTAGGGTGAATGTATCTAGATCATTTCAGTGGATTTTTAGTTTCAGTCAGACCTTTTGTTGTGAACGACATAATACTGGATTTGGGATCCTCCTATCCTAACACGATTTAACTACTGATTTGTGGAGCCATAATCAAATATTCTAGATCTCTTTAAATTCTGAAGCCAGTGAGTAAGAAATTTGCTCATAAGTGACTACTTAAACATCAGTCACTTGCTACATTAAGCATTCTTCATCGGATTTACTGCTTGCTGAGATAATCAAACTTTCAAAAGTTACTTCAATTATTGATGAAATTTAATTAGATAAAGTCTCACAGGGTTGCACAGTAATATTTACTGATGACGTTTCGAGCACAATTTATTGCTCTTAATCAAATGATTAGTCTAAGCCTTTCAGTCACTCGATATCTACTGGAAACGGGGCAGAGACTGACGTACAGGTCGACTCAATTTCTGTTCATTTAGCTAAAGTGATAATCATTAAGTGGTTGAAATCTAACTTATTTATTCAGGAAGAAACAACCATCGTTCTTATCCTGACCGGAATTTCGTTATGTTTTTGGATTTAAAATATCACTATATGTCGTTTATTGTTTATTTGTATTCGTACAGTTGATCTGATTACCTGATTTCTACTCATTCGATTATAGTTAGTTTAAATCCTTCAAACTGTCCTGTACTTCAGTAGATCAAGTTTATTTTCTGCATCTATAAAGCGATTGTTTTTTGTGATCCAGCTTCCTTTGTTAATCTTGGAATATTCTTTTTATATTTCTATACACAGACAAGCTGATTAACAAATTGTAATTGTATCCACTGAAGTTTTGTGGAGTTTAAGTGGGCGAAAGAAGAGTCTATGTCTATCTTGTAGTCCTCTAGTTTCAGTCAGTGAATATTTTCTTTTGTATATTCTGACATCAAAATTGTTTTAAGTTATGTAAAGCTGGCCAAAACTAATGAAAAAATATGATCCTTTATTTTCCTGTTCAAATGGTTTGAAAAGGCAGATACTAACATGGTAAATGACAGAAGTTGCCTAAACTTAGTTGGTCTTATGATTTTTCTGAATAATACTACCTCCACAATTATTATTATTGTTATGGTTGTAGTTATTACTGATAATATTACCCTTATTATTACATATATCAGTGTTAGTATTACTATTTATATTTCCATTACTACTAATACCATTGTCAGTATTTTCGTTACTGTAGTTCTATCTAATTATGGCTACATTATTATATTTCCATAGGAATTGATGAAAATTCTCCGAAGCACTTTTACCTTACTGTTAACATTCTTGTTAAAGCACTTTTAATTATTTCATTATTTATTATCAGTAACTTCATTCATTTAACGACACACCCCGGGATCTATCGGATGCCGGCAGATGAAATCATTCGTTAATTCAGTGTACCTTAAAAAAACTGCTTATATACTTGCCTATACTTTATATAAAGTTCATATTGGAATTTACGATTCATCTAGTCGTCTTAAAAGTTTATCCTCCATAAAAAAGCATTTCAGTTATATGTACAATACGCAAGTTAATTATGAGTTCCTCTTACATTTCTTAGACTGTTATGAAGAAATGAGAATATATTCGTTCACATGGAACGTACTGACAATATCGAAGCTTTACTCATGAAAGGTATCTACGTACTTTCCATGAGTTGTTCTGAACGAGGCAATCTATTCGCAACGTGTAAGTAGCTCTAAAAGTGAAATTGGACTTCCCCTATTTCCAAAATATTGCAACACTTTAGAAACACAAAGTTGTGAAGTGAAGTTAAGAAGAGAATATTTGTTTCCTGACCTATGTCTTCCTAATTTACGTCTCAGCGATTTCATCTTCGTTGGCGTAGGGTTTAACTATGCAAACCAAATATGATTTCAGTGCAATAAACCATTTTTAAAAACTCAGACTGCTTTAAATTGGGCGAGAAAATTTTCCCTGTTATCTGGATTGCACTGCAGTTGTGAGCCAACTTTGGGATTTTACTATGTTAATGACTGTTATAAGAAAAAGGAGTACCCATCACATGAAAATTTAGGGTAAAATATGGAGATTATTGTGACGAAATATTTAACCAAAGGGCAAATTTGGGGTAAATTCCAAATGTAAAAGGATAATAAGGAGGAAAATGGGACAAAATAGGATATAAGAAAGTTGAAAGTAAGAAATGATTTACATTTTCCCTCCTTTAGCCTATTAACAGCACGGGGTAAATAACGATTTCATTTTTGTCTCAACTTTTACCGGAAATCAGAATCGAGTATTCTAAAACACTACTGATGCACAAATCATTTGAATGAAATAAGACTCAAAACCAGTTATTTCATTGGAATTTATTTTCTCAACAAAATTCTTGAAGCTATCAAACTCTACCTCATGAACTATTTATAAATTGATTTGCCACCATGAGACATCAGCAACTTAAGGTCATCCGTCGCCTTAGCAACGACACGAAAGAGATCATTGCCATTTGTTGTTCATTACCGTCAAGTCTCACCACACGTTCCAGTGATGATAGCCAACATGATTGAAAAAATTGGAAGAAAACATTTTTGTACTGCAGTTGTTTTGTCAACCTATTTGAAGTCTCATACAACGTCAGTATCTGGAAGGTATTTTTTATTTCATATGGAATGTGAGAGCACAATTAGATAATATAGTGAAGGCACATCTGAAATGGAGACGTCGAGCAAGCCTTAGTGTTCAAATCTAATTGATTTGTGACAATAAGAACAAGACTTATTACGAAGCGACTGAATTTCAGTTTAATCCACCGGCTGTCAAAGTGACCTTGGAACTCAAGTATACATCAATCTAGGTCTTAGCTGGCAAACAGGTCCAACACTTATGCAATGAAAGGAACATCACAGGGACCTAAAAACCTCTTATTTCTAAATGAGCTTCATACTCTTAAGTGTGACTCACTTATAACATTAGCAACTCAACAAATATAGCACAGAGTCCTAAAAATAGAATAAAAGCTCAGCTAAATAAACATGTCAGGAGTCCATCTATTTAAATGAAAAACCTATGCAAGTCACTTAATAAGCCTAATGAGATTAGGTAAACTGGCGTTCTACACCAGTTTTTCGTATACAAACTAAACAAGAAAAAGTAACCTCACTTCCATAGGCTATATAAGATTCCACGTAGCAATAACAATATTTTGTCTTCGCTGAAGAGACGAGGGTAAAACAGATGAAGTAAAGGAGGAGAGGTCTGTTTAGTTCTACATAACTTCTAAATCAGGCGCACGTGAATTGCACATTGTTTCGAACATTTCATCTTACTAACAGATTAGTTTGTCCTCACACTCCCTAATCACAATGGCTGGATACGAATAACGACATTTTCTTTCAAATAAATCATAATCGAATGTCAAGGCCAGTCTAGCAGTTTGACTCACACCAAAACATTCACGTGATCAGATATATGAACAGATTTCAAACGAATAACTTTAGATATACTGAATAAGGGCTTTCCGCACAACTTAATAAATTGAGTGGCTGCTGTTTGAAACAGAGTTTCGCACCACGATGTAAGCGGAGTCTCACTAGTCCTAAGCAACTCACTTCTTGGTTTCATGAAATTTAAGGGCCCTTCGGCTCACTTATTTTACTTACACTTTCAGAAAAATGCATACTGACTCTAACAAAACTGGTAAACATAAACGGGGGAGGCCGAACTATCACCTATCAGTTTCTCACGGTCGGTTCGCTGCAGAAGAATGAAATACGTTTATTTCCGATGATTACACTTACAGAGGACTAACACTACACGTTTGTATCAAAGCATTCCGACAGTATGCGAAACTAACACTTACCTTTAAAAGCAAGAATTTGTGTGAAGATTATGCGTAGACTAATGAGTCACTATTGTTTCTTGCAAAAATCATAATTCCAGTGGAAATTTCGATGGTGACCACTTCTGCTACTTCAGTAAAAAGGTTTCGAAGCTGAAATACATGCCTAAAAGTAATAGTCTGTTAGCAAAACGCCTCTCAGCTAAAATGCGTTTTGTCAGTAGCGATCACGAATTGACGAATTTTGACTAATTTTAGGCTGGCATAGTCACTGGGACAGAGATCACTGTAGTCAGATTTTGCAGCGCCGACTGCCTGAAAATGAAAAGCTTATCAAGTCTCCCATGAGCGGTAGGAAGGATACTGCTATCATTCGGAGAAGGATAAAGAATGGTGAATTAAATCATCAAAGTGGGGTTTACGAATACCAGAATTTATGTGATAGTGTGCACCGAAAAGTGAGCGTCATTGCATAAGCGATTCATTTATTGGATTCTGCAGACCAGTGGAGAAGCACGGCATGAGTGAAGACTGTGAAGATAATAACTCGATGCATCAAAGTTCCGGATTACTGTAAAAATTTCAATTGGAAACTGGTAACATCAGGTTATCTCGTTGGGATAAGTTCTGGAAAGCTAGCTACAGCTACTCATATAATTTTTTTCAGTAATCTACAGATATATGGGAGAGAACAATGACATTTCGCCTCTTCAAGGGTTGATATCTACTTTGGGGTGTCAGAGGAGTTCGCCAAATCGTTTGAACCTCAGCCGTTTCGCCATTAACGGTTAATTCATGTGTCCATGAGGATTGAGACACGTGGTCGTCAACATAATTTTCAAGGGACAAAAGCTTATCAGCTTCGTTGTGGTGTGGTTATCTAGCTATATGCTCTGTCCAAATCATCGTCCACAGATACATCTTTCAGCAGCCGTGAGCAGTATATTCTCCCTACTCTGGTTGAGGCAGTGTTAAGGACAGTCTGGCCCACAGGTTAAATGGTTCAGGCTGAAGACTAAGCATGCACTGACGCTAGAGCTTAGGTCTAAGTGAACTGATAGTCACACATCCATTGTTATCATTCTATCCAAACAGCCTAACTAACTGCCTTCCTAGACTACGAAAAGTCCTTTTTACAAACTGGTAGTACTACTCTAAAGTGACAAAATACCTGGTCGATGATATTTTAGGAAGTTATTAACGAAAACAAAAGTTTTTGATGTGCACTGGGGCTTTGAATGAGAAAGATTTTGTGAAAGGAACTTCCTGTAAACTCCAAAGGGCTGAACGTCTTGCTAAAACATGTATTTCAGTCCACATGGTCTTGCACGTTCTTCTTATGGGATTAGACGGGCAGTTTTCTGAAATGTTATGAAATGCCCTAACAGGGATGTATTGCATATGCAAGTCATCGACGCTCCCTCATTATGGAGTTGCTTGACCACTAGAGCTTCACATGAGACCATTTAAGAAGCCTTTATTATAATTAGGGATCGGTGGCTTTTGAAATCTGAGTTGTACTAGCCTTCATAATTGTTTCGAAAGCAATAAGTGTGGGCTGCTCTGTTAGGCTGCAGCCAGCCCGAAGAACCATCGATAACTAGGCAAACGTTGACTTACAAACTTTCAGTTTGAAAAGGTTCACACTGATCACACTATTTGCACAAGCGCAACTGAGTTGATTCCCAACTTTCTTGCACCGCATAAGAATATGAGCCAAGTATACGTTTAACATCATAGCACATTGGTTCAGATATCAAGTCATTTAGAGCACATTTGTGTCAAACAGTAGAGAAACTCACCAGAATGTCATAGCTCAAGTTCGTCTTCGATAGCTTTTTAAGACCCTGAGAAACTTAACCAGAAGCTATGTCAACTTTACTCTATGAGGAAAGGTAATAGATTATCATTCAATAATATTACCTGATTAACTTTATCTTACATACAACCTTGTGGATTTGAGCACGCTTATTTCATATATATATATATATACGGTTTAACGTACGATGACACCTGTAAACTGGCGTCCCTCATGTACTAACAGATGAGAGTATATTATCATAAGGATATTCGTTTCTTTCATTCTGTGTGAACCACAGGACTCCACGTGCCTATTTCGATCATATTTTGTTCTCTGAGGTCTCTTTGGATGGATGAATCATTGCCTACAAGATTCAGCCCCTTGGCACATGATTGCCTTCTTGTCACCATTGGACTCCTAAAGCGATGTCAGCTGAACGTTTCCTCAAAAAATGTCGTAAATATCTTCAGTAGATTCTTGGTTAGCCTGTCACTGGAGTTCCTCGTCAGTCGTCCTCTTCGATAGGTTATATTGTGTAGTATTATTTGGAGATAGTTGTAAATGAAAGTCCACTGCAGATTGTTGGAAATGTTTTTCCTCGACACATGCGACAAGTCTATAAAATACACAGAAAAAAATGACTTCATGCTTCTGTTAAAAATACGAACCTTCTTCATTATACTGAGTGCTATAGATGTCCAAGCCAATTATGAATTTAACTAAGCTAATTTGCCTTTCTGATCCGATAAATTCTGGCTTCCAACTTCTTATCCGTACCGTCTATACTTGGGATGACGCCTCTTGGGAAATTAAGGGGAAAGGCGAATTTCCTCGCAAGGGCCAGCCTAGGATCATCAGGCAAATCGTCATATTGGTCTTTCTGTTGTCTCACCTTCCTCTGTATTTAACCTCCACTATGTTCTCCATCTCGCTCTTGGTTAAATTTTTTCCAAATTGCAAAAACAATTTTTCTACCATTATCTTACACTCTGCAAAGAAAGATTTTAAACAGCTGGCGATGGGAATAATTCTGATGACATCAGCATCACGTGGACAGTACAGATCACGAACGTCTTGTTGTGCTGCTATATTTTGACTAAACTAGCATACACGTATATCTTAGTACTTCTTCACGTTTATTATTGTGTCCTAACGTTGCTATTACTCGACATCCACAACGTAGTTCAAAAGGCACTTGCGAAGGAATACGACCGTGTATTGTTGCAGCAATCAAAATTCAAAAATCGAGCGAGTACAAAAAGTATCAATTGTTAACATGCAAGATTTAGAGTAATAAACAAATCAAAGTACAATTACACAATGAAAGTATAGTACTATGATGAGTTATAACATGGGTCACTACAGTCTCTCCAAATTCACTCAAACTTCTACAGAAGGCGAGATATAGGTGTCGCCGTAGATAACTCCACTAGAAATTGGTAGATTTATTGTTTTAGTCAATGAAGAAACTTGAAGAAATAAATTCAGCTGGTGAATCTTATTTTGATCAATGGACATTCTTTCTCAAGGTCGTGTAGGGCGTGCTGGGTATGATTGACTTTTTTGTAACCCTTGAGAAACTGTTATGCTTTTGCTAGAAACAGGTCTTAGTACTCTGTTTTCTAGTTCTTTGTGTGCAGTTAAAGAATGGCTTTATATAGATATAGCCATATACCTATATAGCTTGATTCAGCGCCGTATTTTTGCTACAACTATGTAATTTTTAAGCATGTGATATCCGTAGCCCAAATTTAGTAGGCCAACCATTGGTATCAGGTGTGCATCAGCCGGGAATATAACTCGGGACCATGTGCATAGTTGAAGAGGTTCCCAACCACTGTGCCACTGACGGTGAGAACGTAAAGTTTTGCTGCATTCTTCCGAAATCTTCATTAATATTGTATTAACATGCCCTGATATATGTTTTCATTTTCTTATTTTCGTATCTTATGTAATATCAGCTGTAATTGGACGTGTTTTTATCTCGAAACAAATATCAGTGTTCTACCAGTTTTCTTACGCTCTATTTTTTAAAATTTTACTTATCAGTTTATTCTTCTACTACTCACACTCTGTTGAATTATTTCAATAGATTTCAATACTCAAGCGATCCCTTAAGGGTTAATATTCATACATATTAATCAATAGATTTGCGATGATGACCACATTTGAATGCATCTCTGTGTTTGTTGCACTGCAGTAGTCAAAAATGTGAACATACAATCTTTAAAGTAAATAAAATGTGGGCCTGGTTTGTCTATTCACTCACGCACAAATTCTTCGCTTGAACTATGAGCAATCAATGCACGCCGAGTAAATCCGACTTTGTATCATTTTGACCATCTGTTTTCTGTAGGGAGATACCGTTGTGCCGTACCTAAACAATTTAGTATCTCTTGAAATTCCAAAATGCCTAATTTCACGAGACTGTTTGCATAAATTCGTTATCGATACACTCAGTTATTTGAGCACTGTTGTAATCTGAATTTTTGTTGGATTGTTTAAATTTGTTGACCATTTCCAAAACTCATCCGTATGTGTCGCTGTCACATTGACGTCTTTGTGTACTGTATTATCGAAATATTTCTCTCCCCCTGTGTATTGCTGTAAAGAATACTATTATGAGCCGAAACTGCATGAAAGTTAAGGAGTGCGCTACATAATTTGAGAATAAGAGGTACTGAATTGGTTGAAAAAATAACGGAGTATGCATACGAACACTCTTAGTAAATGTATTCAAGTGTGCATATATGATTAGGAAGCTGCAGCATGTTTTCTAGCAACTTCATTCTTGAGCTACATTCAGTAATGTATTCAGCCGCTCAGTCTTACTATCTCTTGATCTCCACTCAAGTTGTTTTGATTTGCTTACAGAACACTATCCTTTATATCCCGGCACCACTCAACGGACTGACCATATATTCCTTTTGAATGGTGATGGAGCAAGTAAACCGTCTGAAAGCCTTCGGGAGAACACTAATACCTCACATCCAGAACTGATGACATTCCGAGAGATGACCCTGCATATTCCTTGATGCATAGAATTTTTCGGTGACATTAATCAGTAATTATTAACGGTGGTAGTTGTTATGCGAAATAGCAAAGACATGAAACATTGTTGGTAGAGAATTATTCTCCTTCCTAAAGTTCGATTACAGCCACTGCAACTTTGTTGGTATCGCCAGGTATTAGGAAGTTTGGCTAACTTGTATTGACCAAAAACTATCGAACAGGTACGCAATGTAATCACGCCGATCTAAGTGAAAGTCATAATCAACCTGGTGAAGGCGAATGCGGATATTCTCTCTAAGTGCTTTCATGGGGTGAAGGTGTTCCTCACATAATTGCAAGAGCATACGCAAACGTCTGTCGCTTACAACCTAACTGGACCTATTGGTCTACCTAGGGGAGCTGGAGAACCCTGAATCCAAAGCTATGTTTTACATGGGCTCCAGATGCCGTACAGATAGAATGAAGTATGAGTCTGTTCCTATCACGACAACCGTGGGAACGCCGCCCCACTACTCCATGGATCAGCCTTCAAGTCAAAGTCTCGCAGTGCGGCCTCTTAAGACAACCATCTGCCTCGATCTTCACGTCCGGGTAGTATCCCAGCCCTCCCACAATGCGGATGTGTTTAACTTATCACTTGATGTCCAAAACATGCTAAGTTCGTGTTCTAATAATAATAAGCTAAGTGATAAGACGTCAGTGCACTTTAATTTGGTGAGAGTTGTGAAGTGCAAATTCTTGATGCAGTTCTTGTGCTCGTCGGTACTCAGATGTAAGATATGTCTCTAATCTTGAGGTAGATCTTTTCCTTTCAGTAATCTAAACCGTCCTCTTTAGTAATCATTTTAAGACACGACCGACCTCCCCTTTACAAGTGAATTTTGTATGTGAAATGGACGCTGTATAATAACCAATGAAGATAAATTCTCCCTTAAATGACTTACAGAAATGGTTCTGAGGTTTGATTTTGGTTATTGGCGATCCATGCACATGACGTTAATATAGACACTTTGTGCTAAATATGGCGCTGAAGATGTTGTCCAGAAGGACGACGAAAGCTTCGCAACTAAACCAACCAGCTCAGAGAACACTATTAATTGCAAACGCACCATATCTATTAAGAACTTCCATCACTATGTGGTTGGTAAAGCCTTGACAGGTAGGAGACAGCTTATTTGATAGCTGAGAAAAATGTACCTAGCCAGCTTCGCAATTACAACATCATTCAGTGTTTGAAGATGTAGACGACGGTAAATATCTCTAGGTCACTCACTTCTTTTGTGTCTCAAGAAGTCTCATTCTTTTGTTAATAGGATACAAATGATAACAAAAACTGTAGTAGTTGAATTATGAGTGTAAGCAGTTATTTTTAGTGTTCTCTAAGGTCTTCTATTTTATCTTGAAGACGAAGAATAAAGTTTTGGGGTCTTTTGTTTCTAATATGTCTAGTTGTCTACACTTCGATAAACTGCTTCCAGTCAATAAGTGTTTCAATTTTCGGAAGGTCGTTTACCTAGGGTAACGTAATATTTTGTCAGTAAAGCTAGGAGGCCTGTATTGGGTGTGAAATGTGAGCCTGCTCTTCTACTACTTCTAAATGAAACAGTGCTATTTTGTAATTCTTGTTATGTGTCCATTTGAATTCTTATTTTATTCCTCTATCATAGTCTCCCAATTTATTGATATAAGTATAAAACTTGGGCACTGTGGTAGAGTGTAACTCCATTATGGATAAGATTTTATTTTGATAAATCACACAGTGTTACACAGTAATATCCCAATTTATCATTCAGCGTTTTTAGCTGAGTGACTTGAAGTTCACCATGCTTCATGAATTTGTGTTACCAATGAAAGAGCTTACTAAGAGTATGCAAACAACACAATCCCTTTAGAAAAAGATGTTGGCAGAATGCAGTCTTCTCAACAACCTGAGCAAGATTTTGAATGTTTTTGATATTCTGTTTGAATTCACACTACCACCTTCGCATTCAGATATCAAGTTTTATTTTTTCACTCGTGGGATCATAATTACTTTAATAACTTTTAGTTCCTTCACACTACTCATTAAGGCTAATATACTTCATTTTCCTTTTTATAACAGGAATTCTCCAGTACTTTTGATGATCTTTCCTGAATGATGTGGTCACTTGGAGATATTTGCATTTCTAAAACCAAAGATGAAGTTTATGATATATTCGTTATTGAAAAGATCGATTCAGAAAACTCATTGTATACAATCCGGTCGAAAAATTATACAACTTCATGTCAACCCTCAGCCATGCTACGCATAACACCAAGAAATATCAAATTGTTGTGTACAAATAGTGATATCATGTCAAGTCTAAAAGTATGTTAACATGTTTTGTCTGACCTGTTTAATTTTAGTCTTTGGATGATACATACTTCATTACGAAGTTAAATCATTTGACAAATGCTCCACTGTTACAGGTTTGTTTACAAATCTAACAAGTAAACTAAAAGATTATTTATTGTATTTAGACTTCAAATGACATAAATCTTGAGGATAATGGTATTCCCCTGTCTTGGAATAAGGGTGATTTGTGTATTTGTACTTGGAGCGAAGATGAAGCTTATTACTATGCTACAATATTGGAAGCTGATCATGAAAATAATATATTTACAGTATCATTTTGTTATTATGAAAATACCGAAGAGAAATCCTCTGAGGACCTTTATCAGATTAATTCTGAGTTCAGAGTTTGTGTGAAAGATGAACTGAACAAGGCAGCTGCGCTTTCAACAAAGGTATTCTTTTTATTAATTAATCTATAATTATTTATATGTAAAGGAATCATCTGTGATCACTGATCAGTGTGCTGAACAAGAGGATTATGGTGATGAAAAGTAAGCGCTTTTAGAGTGTTGGTGTGTGAGATTGTATTATTTTATTACTGTGTTAACAAAGTTTAAGTTTTTGGATACTTCTCTCAGCGGTTACGTTTTTATGGAAATGAGCAAAGTTGTAGAAGTGACATGAGTATAATGCTTTTATGCATTTTCATCCGTACTTATCATAAGTATTTTACGGTTAATGGAATCACCCATTAATTATATCTTTGAATTGTATTCTTTGATTGTTGGACTACTGCTCCAGTAACTGACAGATTGTTTATTTCATAAGGAGTATACTTCGATAGGAAGTGAAGAATAAATAAATAAGTGAAAGTGCAAATATTGCCAACTTTTCGTGTAGCGGACTTCTAGCTACACTTAATGGGTGAAGGCCAATTATACTGTGCCATCTCAGTCTGAATTAAATGAAGCGTGGCTTGAACTGTTGACTCTTATGTCGAAATTCAAATGCATAAACCAGTAATTCATTTGGTAATTCTCATATTTATTGCTGATTTTTTTCAACTATCTGTAGTGAATATATATATGGTGTTGCCAAAAGAATGGAACTTGGGTACTTTAACGGAGAATAAATGCATAACGGGATAATTTTGTCTGATATAGAACACGGTGATACAGTATCGTTTACTAAAGTACCTAACTAAAGATGTATCACTGTGTAATAATCCAAATCAAATTATGTATTGTGATTTTATTAGATGAAGTATTTTTCAAAATATAGGGATAAGGTATGACACTTAAATACATGTTTTTGGATATCTGTATTTGTATAATTTAAAAGCATTTCCAACAGACTACAGATTTTCATCAATAGTTGTCTTCTCTTTACTGAAGAAGAGATGGCCGGTCGGAACGGATAAGCAGCAAGGAACTGTGGCTGTGAATTATCGATGAGCCTAACAAATATGCTGAAGGAAATGGAAATGGGTTAGACGTATACTGAGGAGACAATCTAGTGGCATCACACTCTAGGCGGGCCGTCGACTGAAATGCGAATAGTAGACAACCGGTTTGATGTTCGAGGGTTACGTAAGGAAGATCAATTGAAGGAACAATCTTAAGCCATCTGTAAGTGTTATCAGAGAACCGAGTGTGATGGAAATGTGCCACTGACTAACTATGTTCCACCCTGGACACAGTCAACGAATAATAATAATCTGTGTAATATACCCCTCTCTAGTAGAATTCACAGAGTATTTGTTTAGAAAGCAGGTACCTTTTAGAATGGCAAAATATTTGCATTACACGAATTTGGTTGCTTTATATATATATAAACAATAGAGTAGTCTATTTACTCATTACTGTTATTATGTCTTTAGTTTAATCTTGAATAGTTCATTGTAAATTTCTAAGGTTAGCAGCTAAATATATCTCATGACTGACGTATTCATGTATTCAGTAACATACGTTTTATTTAAAAGTATTCAAAACTATTAATAAGTTTTGTGGTTTCTTTTGGGTTGTACAAATAACTTCATATGACTCGTTTTTTACGTTAATTTAAGACTTATGTATTAAAACTCTGAACTACACGTTCTTTTTGTTTATGTGACGTATTTGGTCGAACTGTTGAGTTATTACCACTCATGATGGACGCTTATATTTTACAAGCACTTGCAGACGAGGATTCTCAAATAGAACGGAACGCACGGCGTCCATTTTTTTGCTAGCCAACAGTAATCAGATAATGTTAAGATCAAAGGCACTATAATAGGTCTGCACTGGAAGCCGATATGTGCCAACAGACCTTGATCATTCCGATCCAGTTAAGACAAACAATTAAACACTCAAGTTTCAATAAATAAATAACAGCCGATAATTATTATATAAAAGATGACTGTCGTTACTTGGCATTCTCGGGGTTAACGCTTTGGTTTTTGAAACAGTAAATACCGGTGTCAGGTTCTTGTGGGAATACTGCCATGCACTGGAATGCAGGGTACATCCAGTTGGCGAGTCCCAAGTAGAACAAAATGCTTCCCGCATCCCACTACTGACCAAACATTTTAAAACTTAGTTTTCAGAGTACATATGAAGTAATTTGTGACTACTATTCAACGGAATTGAGTTTATTACTATATGATTAAAAAGTATCAGAAATTCCATGGTACTTCTGTAACTGTAGAAGACGAGAGATTTGGTAAAGGAATTTGGCATCTCTACATAGCGAAATTATGTGCACCTTATCTTCAAATCATCATTTGCGAGGATCTTCTGCGTTGTGCTACTTCTGGCCTTCATAGTGCGTTTCTTTCACGTCTCTCATGTATCCTTGCAACGCTGTATCATTTGCTTTCTCTGACGTCAAATCTATCTCCCTGTTATCTGATGTTTCTATGCTGATAGACGTCTCTTAGTATTCTACTGAAAAATCTTATCAGTAGCACACGCTACACTTCTACTTACACGAGATTAAATTATTTCTCATGAGTAGATTGAAAATCCCCATTGAGTCATATGAAAAAGAGAAGACATTCAGCGAAGAGACTCTTTTCGGCGAATTCATTCACATAGCTGTACAATCGCATTTATATATAAATATTTGTGTGTGTGTGTGTGTACATGAGGTTTGTCAAGTTTAGATAATTGATTAGTTAATACAAGAATGATGTAGTATAGAGACAAAGTTAATCAGACAGCAACTAAAGTAAGACTGAGTTAAAAAAAAAAAAAAAACAACTAGATGACGTAATATAATTGGCTAAAATGTTACAACTTAGGTCAGGATAGCAACAGAGGTAATTACAGGTAGAGATTAAGTAGAAGTGAAATTGAGTGAATAAGTTGGATGACGTAACATGAATGACTAGAAACTGAGCGTTGTTCAGGTCAGTAACAGTGGTAGTGGGGTGTAGAGATTGAATCGGGTGGGGGTAGAGAACAAGAAAGTTGAAATTGTAAAATGTTACAATTGAGAAAGCAAAATAATACTAATGAAGAGACAGAAGAAAAGATTAGGTAGAATTTACATGTCGGCTAATAAGATAGATTACGTCCATTGCAAGTGTAGTGATTGAACGAACTTCTTCTGTATGCAGAGTTCAGGACTTAGCAAGTGGATCGCCATTGCTTCTGCAGTTTGAAGAAGTCTGATTCGTACACCTTTAGGGAGACTACTTCTTACTCTGTAGACGACTTTGAAGTTTGTTTGCGGTGTAGCTTGGTGTCCGGATTCGATCAGATGTTCTAAGATGGAACTGCGGGGGCATCGATTTTCTCCTTTATAAAACCATGCTGGTAAGTGCTCGGTGATACGTTTGGAAAGCGAGCGCTGGGTACGGCCAACATACCTGGCTCCACACGAGCAGGTGAATTGATAAATGCACATTGATGAGGCCAGCAGCGGTAGCTTATCCTTCACGTTCACATGAATCATAGGTTTTGTGGAGAAGGTTAGTAGTTATTTCTCATGATGCATCTGGTGGAGATCTATTAATGTAGTCTTTATCTGTTAATATGAGATGCATAGTGACATGTAGGTTTTCGAACTGGAATCACAAATGTTAGAAATTTTTGGTCGGAAAAATATAGACAAAATGATTTAAATACTACACCAGTAATTATTATTATTATACCCTTGGGTTCCGAGTGGAACATAGGGCTTCTGCAACACACCAGTAATACAGATACTTATCATCGGAGATTCCTAGATCTTAACTTGTTTATTTCTGTTTTCTCTCTAGTTAATTTCAGCATCTCACTACTTTTGTTGATTTTATTTACATCATTTAAGCTGTCTACAGACAATGAGGTGATTACCTTTATGACCTTCGGTTTTCCTCACTCTCATGTTTGTTAAGCACAGCAAGTTACACTTTTATAATAATATAATAATAATAATTTTTGCTTTATTCCAAAAACAGTATTAATGATACAGCAAGGAATTTTCAGCATTCAGTACAGTATTGCATCTAATTTACTCAAAAACGACAACAACAAACAAAAAAAAGTAGATAAACGGAATAATTAATACATAATAATGATAACAAAACGTTTTTATAGGAGCTATGTAGCAATTACAGTAGAGGATAAGGAGAAAAATATAAAATTATAGTAATAATGGTAATAACAACTAAAATAAAAATAGCAAAGTTATAATTAAACGATAGAAAGGGTGACACCATAGAATTACAGAAAGATGAACAATGAAAGGGTCGATTCACTATGCTAATTACATAGTAACTTATATGTTTCACGTCTAACAGTGTCTTCATCACATAAAATACGGGCTAAGTACGGTATTGTAGAATTTTTGTACTTAGTGGTACGAGCATATAATTTCTTATATTGACTTCTCGTTCTACCTGATGAGATACAAGGGGATAATTGTGAATAAAGAGGGTGCAGAGGGTCTGACAGTACGGCCTTTGCCCAATTTTTACAGGAATTTACGTGTCTCTCGACTATGGTATTGGCGAGATCACGTAGTGGCAAACCACAAGCCCTACTCACAGCATTTAATACCCTTCGTAATACGGCATAGTCTTTTTTAAGAAGCCCAGGAAAGATTAATGGAGAACAATAAAGTAAAATGGGTAAAATACAGGAGTTTAAAAATCGCAGAACTAAAGGTTGGCTGATACCTTGTTGTCTTAACTTTTTAATGTAGAAGGTAAGACGAAACATTTTCTTAGAGACCAATAAAATGTGAGATGACCATGAAAGGTCCGAGGAAAGAACTAATCCAAGGTATTTAATATTGTTATACTCGTTGATCGTTTATGCTTGTCTATCGAGTATTTACCCAGAACATTTCTGACTTTCGTGTTCAGATTTCTGGAAAACCTGAGGGCATTTACGGCCGCTGAAGAAATCACTTTAGTGAAAAACTGAGGTCAAACTGACTGTTTACTTAGTATCTTGAATCTGTCAATGTTAACTGTCCTACATCTAGCTGTTAACAATAAAAATTTAATTTTATCGTTTTTTTTCAAGATTGAGTAGATATTCAGATGAATGGGTCTGTCGAAACAGTAGAAAAGTGCGTTGTTTTATTCTAAATCACGGTAGTATTAATCATTTGCTTCAATGGAACCGAACTATTAACCTTCTGGTTTGTCAAAAGTGTCTTTGACACTTGGTTGTTAGATTAATCAGTGTTGCTATCATCGATGCCAAGTTCATTGGCTTCATGATATGGTGTATTTATGTGTTGTGGCATGATTAATAGACATACATGGGACTGAACAGATGTCACGCAATAGTTTTGGTGTTTATCTATCCCCACGTACAACTTCACATCGAAATTTCTGGAATTGTAGAATGACAATTGGAGTAATTTCATTTTGGTGATCCTTGGATAACTGATTAACTAGCAGGCAGTATTCTTCATTTGTCTTCTGAATTCTGATTGAAGTTCCTTCCTCAATGTTGAATGTATATTGTTTCACATCATGTGATGAATTCATCATATAACTCGAATATTATGTTATTGTTCTACAGTTTTGTAAAGTTGACATTTCTTCATAGGGAATTTTATTATTTTGTTTTGGACTATTTTTATTCTTAGTGAAATATATGAGCCCTCTGTCCAGGATGAGGCGACGAAATGGATGAATGAAATTTCTTCCTGTTTGCACCAAGTCTCACTTGAATCCGTTGCTTCTCATAATAAAACACGGAAGTCAAAAGTTGTAAAGCCAACTAGACCTGAACTTCTTGAATTCTCTTCACATGAAAATAACTCAGAGTCTACAAAGCAACCCAGTGGATCGAGTAGATTACCATTAGTCAATACCTCAAACATTCGAAAACAACTTAACGAGTTACAATTGCATCCATTATTATTGAGTTGGTTTATATGTGGCTACCAAACTGGGTTCTATGAAGTGAGTAGATAAGTAAGAATTACTTAAACGTTTTACTTCACCGAATATAAGATTACTGTGTGTTGGATAGTGATCGTATAAAAATCTTTGTTTTACTTCATGAAAGTCTAAGGAATTTATCTGTGAAAGTAAAATTTGCTTTAATAGGTACTTCTATAAACATTGTCTCTATTGTTATACGTCATATGGTATAAGATCTAATAGATATGGTTTCAGTAATCCCTTTTCATTCTCATATTATTTTCTCAAATATTTACCTACTTTTTAATAATGCCTGTAAATACAAATCTCCTACTAACCCTTTATTACTAAAGAGTAATTTCTGAGTATCAAGATAGCCACTCATCCGATTTTGATGGCAAAATGAAACTTTTTAAAAAATGGATATGATAAAACCTCATGCTATAATTCGGGGATTACTGATAAATGAAAAAGTGCATTTGTTATCTATATTGAACATTAGTTTTTAGGCAGTGTGTTTTAAAAATAAAATATATATGCAAAGTTGTGCAATAGGTGATGGTGTTCACGTATTTTGTAAGCAATGGCTATACTATATTGTTCAAACTAAAACAAGTGGTACAAATTTTGAGTTTATAACCCACTAATGTGTATACGTGACAAACAAAGTTTAGCTGTAGTGTGCAGTTTCCAGAGACACATTGTTAAGTATTGTATTTTCCTAATTCACTTGAACACTCGTGTTGTAAGTGTTGTCTGCTCTGTACACGTTAGTGTGGAGCTGATGCTTACTGCTGTAGGCGCTTAACTTCTGACCACTAGGTAATGGGGTTTGAAGTTACCCCAACCTAAGGAGTTTCAACAGCAAAGTAGTATCAATAGTCTTCGCGCATAGGTGTGACTCATTGCCAACTGCATTGAAATACAAGTGGTTGTTGAGTGCTTTACTTGTTATTTGTATAAAATATTGACTCTCTAAAGGTATTCTACACTGATGTAATTTGTGTAACCTCTTAACATCATTCAGTTGTTTTACTTTCATTCAGCTGTTCTACTGTTTTTCATTTCAACTAACGGTTGAAAAATACAGGGTAATTTATAAGAGTAGGTTGGATGGTTTTCACAAGATACCGATAGTATGAAACTAAATTGAAATGTCTTGATTATAATCATAGTTAGATGTCAAGTGGCGAGATATTAGTGTCATATGTTTACCTCTAAGCAGGCTGATGCGACATTGTCTTACTTTGTACATAAGGTCAATTTAACTAACAATACTATAGAAAGTAGCAATCGACCACTTTATAAGACGCCTTAATGTGTCTAGCAAAGTCATTCAGTTTCTCATATTTGGCTTGTGACAACCATTGTATTTGAAAGCACCATCAATATATTATCCAAAGAAGGAAATTAGATATTAATTTCAACGTGGAAATAGTGTTTATCGCTGACTTTTCCAGCTAGAGAATTTTCAATTCAGTGCATATTCTTCTTACTGCTTTCAGATTCATTTCTAACAAACCATGGTACTGAATGGAATTCACTGTTTCGTACGCTAGTCCGTTAACATCCAGTGATCCACTTCTTTCAAAGCTGGATTTTATTATAAACTGCCGGAACCCAAGTCCTAATGAAGTTGAGAAAGGCTACCCTGTATATATGAAATCCCTTACCCTGCATAGCCTAGGAGATAATACATTTGTTTGAAATGCGAAATGCAGTAGACAGCTAATTTCAAAACGTTGATATAAAATGTCATTCACATTGTGAGTTTTAGGGAGGAAGACATATTAACTAGAATAACTTGTTTAAATTCATCAATGAACCTGGTGAATATAAAACATTTCTATTGTACATCTTATACTTGTTCCACAATACATCCGATATAAGTCTGATTTGCCTTTACTGGCTAATGTATGCTCAAATTAGTGGATTTATAATTGTAAAGCCTGAAGAATTTCTTGGAAACAATTTTTCGCCCTGATTATTTTTGTTCGGAATAAATACTGAGGATATTCATGTTACAAATGATTTTTATTCCATACTCTTACTAAATGAGTATCAGATAACCGACCAGATTCGCTTAGCTAATAATTTATTAGTATGAATAAAGAAAGAACGAACATATTTACAGGATAATACGAGCTCGTTTTATTTCGTGGATTCTCTTCAACTGCTCACATCCTAAATACATAAATAAATTATTTTACAAAATTTCTGAACATACTTTTTACAATGATTTCAAGTTATAGATAGAAAGTATAAGCAACATAATTTCACAGCTGTTGTACGTAGACAATTATTTAGTGTTAAAAGAGTAACTATTTATATAGTAATTAGCAAGGGAGTAGAGTTCAGACTTCGCTTGGAAGCAAGGACGGACTAGAGACAAAATACAAGATACAACAATAGGGTTAATTTATACATATTATGGTGGAGAGTTCAGGAGGGTAGGGGTGAATAGTGAAGTAAAATTATAAAATATAAAAATTAGCTTAGTAGATTTGAAAGCTTAATAGTGAGTTCAACTCAGTGAGCGAAAATAACAAGATTGGGTAGAATGTTACGCAACATAACAAAACAAAAAGCACTCAGACAAAACAATTACGGTTACCAGGGTGGTGAGAGATTAGTCACACTATCTTTCTGTATGCATAGGTTAGGTCGAAGTCTTTTGATGACCTATGGCTTTTACGAACCGAAGTAAAAATGCTTTTCTTTGTGTATTGATTATTTTGAAAGCTTAACTAAAATCAACTGTATGTCCCGTGTCATTGAGGTGTCTGGCGATTGCACTTGAGAATACTTTGCCTTCTGGAAACGGAAACTTTTAGGGATATACCTGGAGAATCTAGTAGACGCTCTCCTCTCAGTTATTCCTTTGTATTTGCTGCTGCAAGTGCATGTGAATTGGCAAATGGAGTTGTAGTTGATATGAACAGGATACTTATCTACTTTTGACTGCGTTAACGAGCATATGGTGTTGTAAAGTGGATTGAGTCAATTTTTCTAATTCTCCTGGCTGCTTCTATGTGTACCACTTTCAAAATGTCCATGGAGATGTATTGTATAAATAACGATAGATTCACCATTAGAGTCAAATTTTACAAACTTCACTGTGAATTCAGTAAGATACTACATCAAAAAAATGTCATTAATCACTAATCTAATTACACTGACTATGTTTTCATTGTGTTTTCTTATCAGGAATGTCAACTGGGACGAACTGTCAAACAAATTCAATTAGTTACATTATCACTATCTTCTAATTATGATAATAGTATTAAAATAAACTATACTTTCTAGGCATTTTACCGACTAGAAGAACAGACAGTCCTTACTGGAGGTTCTGTCACATCAGTAAAATAGCACATGCAGTTTTACTTTCAGACTAAAATAAGCGCCTGAATGCCTGATAAGCAGATGGAGGATGTATTCTGATGATTGGCTAACAAAGAAATTGGAATATACTCAAAACAAAGAAGAGTATTATTTTACTATTATCCTCCGTTTATCATTTTCCACTCGACAATTAGTCAGTGATCACGCTAAATCATAGTGGAAAGCACTAATTCAAACTAGATTATCACCTGAATTCGTAGCAAGACGATTCTAAATTTCTCTTATCTAAGAGACTGGAAACCAATATTCCGTGTAATACACTCGGATGCTACTGTCTTTATCGGCCGGATTACATCTGTTTGTGAATCTTTGTATCTTATTTGATTATTTATATTTCAAAATTCACTAAAGTTTATTTTACACCTTATTTACTACTTTTCTCTCTTTTTTTAAAATAGGTATCTAACATGCATTCGTAATGCCGAAGCAATCGCCCATATTTAATGTGACTGAATTGTTTCTATGTTTTGTGACATTTATCAGGCATTCGATCTGTATTTGGTAAATTCTCATGTATATAAATTTTTCTACGAAAATGCGTTGTAAATTTTCATGGTGGGGTGTAGGAACTAGAGAATAATATTCATCCTTTTGTCACCTGACCAAATGTTGATGATGTATTTCTCATAATTTTGATCTTTTCATTGAGTTCCATTCTAGCCACTGAATAGACTCACTATTTTACCTAAAAGTTGTATAGCTTGCCATCTTTCATCCACATTTATTATTCGAATAATAATTAAAATTAATTCAATGAATTATATCCTAAATACTTTTGTGAAGGTAACTAGATAAAGTTGATAATTGTTCATGTTATTGGTTTTTGTGAATTGACTCCACACGCTGGTTCGCCTGCACCAATCGGAATTACGGTAATACCATATAAATTGGGATCTGTATGTCTGGGAAGTTAAAATCAAAGATGTGGAAATATTTGAAGATATTTCTCATGAATTAGGTTTCTACACTTTGCAAGTCAAATAACAATGGGTTTGTCCTTCACACATGTCTTGTATATACACAAAGACAAATGAATTATGTCAGTCCAGTTAACAGTTGTGTGTATTTTTTGAAGCTGTGCGGGAAACCGTTCTGTTGAGTTTCCTGACTATGACTTAAATTGTAGTCCTTTCAATCGTATTTGAAATAAATGAATAGCTCTAAAAGGTATTCGGTTTTGTATGTATAAGTTGTCATTTTATAACTGAGAGTATTGGCTCTCTGTGTTTCTAACAACGATTATGGAGTTTTAAATGTTATCCTCACTATGAAATTTAAGGCTGCTAACGCTTATGAAGAAATGAAAGTTTTGACCCTAGGATAGTTTTCCCAGAAAAAGTTGTTAAGGCGAATGGAGGGAAATTATTTCATTAGTTAATTTGAAATTAACGACACCAAGGAAGTCTGTGCACATAATTGATGGTTGCGGTAGGTCTGGACTTTTGACACATCGATTGGAAACTAAGTGCTTAAACCAGTAAGTTGCCCCAGTCGGAGAATTTCTTATGAATATAGGTAAAGTGGGTAGCATCCATGCAGGTTTAAACTGCCTGGTTGGGGTCCATGGGATGCTAAACATCAATGGTCTGAAATTTACGGTATAATGGTACATGATTGTCCATAGTGGCACAGATGTATTCACTCTTTGTTATCTTGCAGGCTCAGAACATCAATAGTACTAATTTAACCGTTTCCACTCACATACATCTCTGTTTACTGTAGTTCCACCAAATTTAGCTACATTTATGTATGTTTTAGTGAAATAAAACAACTGATGCTCTTCTCTTCAAAGTTTCACACTCTTGTTAGTCAATTAACGTGACCGCACAGTCCAAATAATATTTGCTTGGGGTTGATTACATGCGATCTGTTTGAAGTGTTGCTATTGGTTCTGAAATCTCGCTATGGGTAGCTAACATTGTGATAGCAGCTATTTTTCTGCAGTCATTCGACTGACGTTTGTAATATAATAAGATTTCTGAAGACAACCGTTGTAGTCAATGGCAACAGCTTACCTTATATCAGTTTGCATGCTCGTTCACAACTTAAAAGTGTGGTCTTTCGGTAAGAACTAAATACGTCATATGAACAGAGGTAGCTACATTTCTCCACTGTTAATGATTAAAGGTGTCGCAATTAGATATTAGTTTCATCGGCAATAATTTTAACATACCACACACGAAATTAAAATCTTTTTAATTAATTTGATTTTATTCTCTGATTAAGTAGAGCTACAGTGTGTTTACTGTTTGGTCTTCTGGCTTATCTCTCATAATTGTGTGTGTGAAAATCCTTAGTTACTGGTGCTGCTTAGTCCCGAAATTTTAATCTCTTTGGAAAGAAATAAAATCAAACCGTGTAGAAGACCACTGTGTGTAAACACGGAGCACCGCCCACAGCTTAACAACTAATATGTACAGGAAAATCCTCTCTGAACTTCCTGTGCATATCCATTGATTGTTGGAGTAAACGCAGCAAATGTCTTGTTTTCTGATTCTGGCTCTTGTTTTGAAGCGCCTAGAAGAAATATTAAGTTGTGCGCAAAGTAATGGTGATTTCCTTTTGAAGTTCAGGCTGTTTGAAATTTTTTGGCTGAAAACTGTGAATCGATAAATAGATTTAAATTTTATGTACAAAAGCGTATTGCCTCTCAAACTTACATACAGAGACACGATATAAATAACTACAGTCTAAGTATATTGGGTAATATAATGTACAGTGTATCGTAATTACAAAGTATCTGAATGGTGTGGTACACCTGTACCAACTATAAATATACAATTTTTAATCTAATTTGCATACTTATATTATATGTTTACAAAGACCGATTTTATATGTACTTCGCAAACATTTGTCAATTTATGGTTGAACATTACCTTGACACAATATTTGAAAATTTGACTACTGCTATAATACACGATCGTACTCTTCGCAAGTGCCTTTTGGTTTTACGTTGTGGGCGTCGAGTAGCCACAACGTCTACGCACATTGATAAACGTGAAGAAGTACTAGGAAATACGTGTACGCTGAATTAGTCAAATAAAGCACGCAACAAATTGGTGAGCCCGCCAACAACTTGTTAACCCCAGCGCATCGTTACACTTGCCGGATTAATAAAATTCAAACTTTCGCGGATCTATATATATTAGACATTTCGAAATAGTTCTTGTGCTTTCTTATCGTACAGCCTGCAGTAATTTGCGGTAAGCATCTGCAATGCATGCTTTTCTGTTTTGCCAAATTCTTATTCTTACTGTACCATTTTTTAAGCCCAGAGACCCCCATCTTTGGTTTGTACGACTGGAGCATTATTTCACTACCAATAAGCTTACGTCACAGACGGCTAAATTCGGCATTTTGAGTTCAGTACTACCAGACGAATTCGCCGAGCAGGTATGATAATACGTCGTTCAACCCGGCACAGAAGCGCCTTACGACAAGTTGAAGGAAGAGGTACTTCGATGCACTTCGCTTTCGGATAAACAAGCACTCGGTCGTTTGTTAAGCGATGTTGAGCTAGGTGATTAGACCCCATCCCAACTCATAAGGCATATGCAAAGCCTAGTAGCAGGAAGGGAAATCGATAAACGTCTCTTTTACCAAATATATATATATATTTATTCCTGTTTATGCAGGAACATACCAATTGTACAGGCATGGATAAGTTATTATATAAATTACAGTTTGTTTGTTCAATCTAACATTAGAGTCAGTCAGAACAGTCTGCAAAATAGTCTGTCTGTGTAACACATAAAGAGATATAGAAATATTGTCTTCGCATTAACAAAAAACCCAGACTTCAGATGAGTGTGATACAAATATCTGGGAAAAATAAAGCTTGAAGTCAATTCTCCTATAAAACTTTGTTGTGAACAGCACCCGTGAGATAAAGTTTATTGATGTATTATTTTGATTCAATAATGTATTTATTCCATTTTTGTCAGCAGTCTTATCGTAGTTTTATAATAGGAAAGAAATTTGATCTTTGATACGAAAGTTAGATAAGGTAGTGTTAGATTGTTTTACTGCATCAAATGGGGTCAATTCTAGAACTATCCATTTGCGCCATTTGCGTCAGCATGGCAGACTGAACATGTAAGTTGAGTAATACATTGGTAACTGTTTGAAAACCAGTTGCTTCTTTATTTCAGATCAAGAATACTCCTTGTACAGAATGTTAGCCAGCGTTTTCAAGTGGTTGCACCGGATCGTTCATGGAATTTGAGTTTGAATTTACATAAATGGTCATTTCAGTTTGGATGTTGGGTTGTTCGACCTCAACCAGGAGGTATATAGAAGTTTACGCTCAGCAGGGAGATAAAGTATGTAAATATGAAAAGAACTTTATTATTTTATGTACATATAAATGTTTATAAATGTATATCATTGTATAGTAAACACTACCCATAATCTAGTTGTTTTTCATGTAATTTTGCGAAGTCTTAGAGTTTATTTAGTGTCGTAATATTTAGTAATGAGTCTAGGCTTTATAGTGTGCTAATAGCTCATGCGTTTTGGAAATAAGTGGTGCGGTGTGATTGGCATAGTCATTGGGATGAAACAGTTTATATAGCAAGCGTTTGAAGGTTATAATAGAGTGACAGGTCCTAATTTCTAGGGGTAAACTGTTCCAGATCTTAGAGTACATGACTATGAAGAAGTTTGCACGGAGTGCTGTTCTACAGTTTTTCCTAGATACTTTGCACGTTTGGTTACGAAGGTTGTAAGAGCCTGTGCCAACTATAAGCATACGCTTTTTAATCTAATTTTCATACTTATATTATATGTTTACACAGACCGATTTTATATGTACTTCGCAAAAATTTGTCAATTTATTGTTGAACATTACCTTGACACAATTTTTGAAAATTTGACTACTGCTATAATACACGATCGTACTCTTCGCAAGTGCCTTTTGGTTTTACGTTGTGGGTGTCGAGTAGCCACAACGTCTACGCACATTGATAAACGTGAAGAAGTACTAGGAAATACGTGTACGCTGAATTAGTCAAATAAAGCACGCAACAAATTAGTGAGCCCGCCGACAACTTGTTAACCCCAATGCATCGTTACACTTGCTGGATTAATAAAACTCTAACTTTCGCCGATCTATATATATTAGACATTTCGAACTCATTCTTGTGCCTTCTCATCGCACAGCCTGTAGTGATTTACGGAAAGTATCTGCATTGCATGCTTTTCTGTTTTGCCAAATTCTTATTCTTACTGTACCATTTTTTAAGCCCAGAGACCCCCATCTTTGGTTTGTACGACTGGAGCATTATTTCACTACCAATAAGCTTACGTCACAGACGGCTAAATTCGGCATTTTGAGTTCAGTACTACCAGACGAATTCGCCGAGCAGGTATGATAATACGTCGTTCAACCCGGCACAGAAGCGCCTTACGACAAGTTGAAGGAAGAGGTACTTCGATGCACTTCGCTTTCGGATAAACAAGCACTCGGTCGTTTGTTAAGCGATGTTGAGCTAGGTGATTAGACCCCATCCCAACTCATAAGGCATATGCAAAGCCTAGTAGCAGGAAGGGAAATCGATAAACGTCTCTTTTACCAAATCTGGCTGCGACGAATTCCTGCAAACATCCAGCAAGTTCATGCTTTTGAGATGACGACATTGACATAGAAAAACTCACCGAAATCGCGGATCGCATGTACGAGAGGTCGACACCTCAATCTTTCGCTTCCACTAGCAGAATACCAGACGCTCACGACAGCATACAGACTCTAGAACACAAAGTCGACACCTTAGTGAGTCAGTTAGCAACCCTGACCACACACACACGACCAAGCCATTCTAGAAGCCCGTCCAGTCGACGTCTTTCTCGATCAAATAACACGTCACGACATCGCGATAATATTTGCTGGTACCACCGTAGTTATGGAAGCAACGCACCACGGTGCCGTTCACCTTGCAACTTTCAGGCTAAAGCAAAAGATATATCGTCATGTGTGAAAACTTCTACTGTTGGCAA